TGCTCTTAGGGCCTGTTGCCTGCCACCACATGGTCCGCTACCACCACTTGGGGACCTGCAGTGTTTCTGCTTCCTGCTGTTGCCTGGATCCTGCAGCATTTTTAATAATCCATTTCAATTATGTAGATTCTGAGCATCAAACTCAAGTTGTCAGGCTTGGAGGCAAGTGCCTTAACCTACCTAAGTGTTTTCACCAGTGAACGAACAAAGGATTTCTAGTATTATCAATCAACTGTGCAAGATCTCCATCCCTTACAATCAACATCTTTTCATAATTCTATGGAGCCTAAACAGTAATGCCTGCTTGGGACGCTGAGGCAGGGGAATCACAAGCTCAGGACCTGCCTGGGCTACGGGGTGAGTACAAGGCCTACGCGGACAACCTAGCAAGACTTTATCTCAGGAGAAACTTTTACAAGGACTGAACTATAGCTCAGTGATACATCACTAACCTACCATGTGCCTAGGTTCAGTTCACAGTTGTGTATGTTTGTATGTGCATGGTAGCAACATCCTAGTGAGGTTATTTATTTTGTATTTTTAAAAATACTATTTATATTTGTGTATGCAAAATGACTGTCAAACCTCTAACCACAGCCCCCTCAATGCTGAGATTATGTGTGAGCACTATTGTCAGGTTGACTTGTCTTTAAACTGTTTTATCTATTTTTGAGACAGGTTTTCTCTGTGTAGCTCATACTCTCCTGGAACTTGATCTGTAGACCAGACTGGCCTCAAACTCAGAGATCCACCTACCTCTGCCTCCCAAATGCTCTGATTAAAGGCACACGTTACACTGCCTTGCTTGTTTTATTGGTATGTGTATGCTTGTATGTATGTCTGTACACCACATACATGTAGTGCTTATAGAAGCCAGGAGGAGGTATTGGATCCCCTAGAGCTGAAGTTGTGAGCCTCCATGTGGGTGGTGGAAAGAAAACACCAGTCCTTTGGAGTAGCCTATACTCATTTAATCGCTGAGCCGCCTCTTCAGCTGTCCTTAAATTCTTTATTGTAGCATTTAGTCAAGATCCCAACTGTACCCAAGTAGAGAAGGGACTGCCTGCAGCTTCACTTCACCATCTCCACTGTTGATAACAAACCCAGGCATCACTTTCTCCAGAACTTTTTTTGTTGGTGGTGTTTTGTTTTTTGAGACAGGGTTTCTCTGTGTAGCCCTGGCTGTCATGGAACTAGCTCTGTAAACCAGGCTGGCCTCAAATTCATCTGCCTCTGCCTCCTGAGTGCTGGAATCAAAGGCATGTACCACTACTGCCCTACCCTCTAGGAATTTTTTGGACTAATTGGACTCAACTGTGCAGTTAAAATTAGGTGTGGTCATTGGTCCCTTTAACAAGCACTTCAGACTGTTCTAGAACACAGTTAAATAGTATCTAAAATAGTATCTATTATTATTCTCCATTAAAATTAAATTCCTTGAAGTGTCAGAAGCATGTTTAATGATCCCTCTACTGGGGCTGGAGAGGTGGCTCAGAGGTTAAGAGCACTGACTGATACTCCAGAGGTCCTGAGTTCAATTCCCAGCAACCACATGGTGGCTCACAGCCATCTATAATGAGATCTGGTGCCCTCTTCTGGCATGCAAGTATACATGGAAGGAATGTTGTATGTATAATAAATAAATAAATAAATAAATAAATAAATAAATAAATAAACAAATAAATAAATAGCTCTAAAAAAAAATCCCTCTACCAATGAGTGATGAACCCAAACTTTTTTTAAAAAATTTGTTGATGTTGACCCGGGGGGGGGGGGGGGAATCTCACTATATCATACAGGCTGGCCTTGGACTTGAGTCTCCCGTTTCAGTCTCCCTAAGATTACAGGTGTATGCCAGCAAGTCTAGCTCTAACATAAGTACTTCATTAAGGAATGCTGTTCTAGTATACAGACTTCTGCAGGTCTCAGAAAGCACTCGTCACAAGAGATTACTAAGGAACATAAAGCTTGGCTTAATACTAAATTTCAAAGTATATGAGTGAAACTAGACATATTTACATAAAATTTGTAACATTTATTTAAGCAAAAAAAATCCCAATTTGTACATACAACATTAATACTTAAGTACTGTTCCACTTGAATATACAGCATGATTCATGTGTAGAATACTCTTGCTTACCAGGCCATAACCAGAATACCTTTAGCCCAAACAATCCAGGATTGTTGTCTGAGATACACACATTCAACTTCCTGATGAGTTTCCATTTCTTGAAGAGTTAAACCCATAGGAATTAAAAAAAAAAGGCAACTTTTCATATGCACAAGTTTAGACTTTGACAGAGGAATCCTGCAGAATCAAAGATTTCATTTTGTCATTAATCACTTATTTTGAACTTTGCAAACAAGGAATTTCTATATAGCCCGAGATGGCCTGGACCTCACTTAGCTCAAGCTGGCCTCCAATTCAAGACCCTTCTGCTTTATCTCCTCAGTGTGGACATTAAAAGTTGGTGATTAATTTGTTATACTTATTTAATGTGGGGCATGAGTGTGTACATAATGCATACATGGGGTCAGAGGACAACTTGTGGGAGTCAGTTCGCTCCTTCAATCATACGGAACGGAGCTCAGGCTTGGCAGCAATCTCCTTTACCCATTAAGCCATCTCACTGGCCTACACAAGTCGGTGCCTGAAAAAAGATGTTTCTGCAGACTATCTGAGAAATCTTGACATAACATTCTTTAAGAGAAAAAAATGCTCCCAAAGATGTCCTTTTATGGAAAGTGTCTCAACTTTCATTACTTAAAAAACTTCTTGCTCCAAAGTTGATTAAAATAAGATTAAAAGTGTCCGGTGTAATGGCACACACCTTTAATCTCAGCATTTGGAAGGCAGAGGCAGGTGGATCTCTGTGAGAGATCCAGGTCAGCCTGCTGCTCCACAGAGCAAGTTCTAGGACAGCCAGGGCAACATAGTAAGACTCTTGACTCAAAAAAAAAAAAAAAAAAACTAAGACGGCAGAGACAGGCAGATCTCTGTGAGTTCAAGGCCAGCCTGGTCTCCAAAGTGAGTTACAGGAGAGAAACCCTATATAAAAAGCAAACAACCCTCCCCCCAAAAACCCAACAACAAACAAAATCCTTAAAAAAAAAACCCTCAGTTTTCCATAAGGTAAGCTCAAAGTCAAGTATTTACCATTAATGAAATAGATTTATGATTTGCCACAAAATAATTTTGATAAGTCTTGAAAAAAAGTATGTATAACTGGTTTTTCAAGATAGAGTTTCTCTGTGTAGCCTGGCTGTCCTGGAACTTACTCTGTAGACCAGGCTAACCTCAAACTCAGGAATCTGTCTCCAAGTGCTAGGATTAAAGTCATGCACTACCACACCCAACTAGCAATTATATGTGTATGTGTGTGTGTTGCTTTTTGTTTTTTTGAGACAGGGTTTCTCTGAAGTCTTTCGAGCCTGTTCTGGAAGAATTATATTTTGGGGGGTAGGATCTTATTATGTTGCCCAGGCTCATGTTAAACACATATCTCACTTAAGTCCTCAAAATTTAAGTACTCAAATGACCTCCTTGCCTCAGCCTCCCTGACATCTAAGAATATAGGGGAAAACAGTAAAGACCTCACAATCTTTTGCCCCAGCACTTGCACGTTAGGTTACAGTATATGTTAGCACACTGCCTGGCATGTTCTTACTCACCACTGGTTTGACTGTGAGCTAGGCTGTGCTGTGCTGTCCTAGAGAGCCATCCCCTCAGCACAGTAGTATGTTTTCTTTTGGGATGGGGGTGTCTCAAAACAGGGTTTCTCAAAGCTTTGGAGCCTGTAGACCAGGCTGGCATCTAGCTCAGAGATCAGCCTGCCTCTGCCTCCTGAGTGCTAGGATTAAAGGCGTGAGCCACCACCACTGGCTCTGAATTGAGTTCTGCATACTTTATTTTTTTAAAAAAGTAAGGCAGTGGAAAGACAGAAAATGTTTTTAAAGGCTATTGTCATCACAGTCTCTTGGGTTAAGATTTGGAAACAAATGCATGTACCACAAAGTATGCCACATCATGCAAAGTTGGTCCATGAAATTCTAAGTTACACAAGCCATGACACACACCTAAAACCCAACTGCAAAATTCTCTATCATACTCTATTCCTATCACTGGTGGGTTTTACATCATCACTAAAATGGCTATTTCTGAATTAACACTGAAAATTAAAACCGTGTCAACACACACTAGATGACACTGAATATCCAATATCCAAGAGACAGTCATGTGAAACGACCACAAGGGATTTAAGAAGGAAAGCAAGTTTGCAAACCTCTCCGGAAGCAGTCTTGGCAGTTCTGAAGCCCAAACATACAAACTCCTCGCATAAATAATACACAGATAAAGCCAGAAGAGCCTTATTAGCTGATAGTAGGGCACTGCCTTAATCTATGTCTTCAACTTATTAACACTGTTTAAATCACAACTAACCAATTAATAAAGTGTGCCATCAGAGAGGAGACAGGTCGCAGGTTATCATGTACAAAATGGTTCATTCTGTTACTTCTTCTCACCTTTGCTCTGAGTACTGTTACACACTGTTCTGGGCAGAGGATGTATTTTAAAACGCCAAACCTGGCTTGGTACACTCCTATAATCCCAGCACTCAGAGGGCTGGGGCCAGCTTGTAAATATATATATCCGGACTCTATCTCAAAAAGGCAAAAATAAGGGCTGGAGAGATGGCTCAGCGGTTAAGAGCACAGATTGCCCTTCCAGAGAAGCCAGGTTACATCCCCAGAAGGCAGCTCGCAACTGTCTGTAACTCCAGTTCCAGAGGATCTGACACCCTCACATAGACATACATGCGGGAAAAACACCAATGCATATAAAATAATTTAAAAAAAAAGGCAAAAATCGCTGGGGGGGGGGTGGTTCATGCCTGTAATCCCAGCACTTAGCACGGGGAGGCAGCATTCAAAGTCATCCTTAATTACATAGTGAGTTTGAGACCAGCTTGGGGTATGTAAGATCCTTTTCAAATAACAAAATGAAGCAAAACCAAAAACTAAGCCAAACTTAGTGTTCACTAAGTCACCCCAATTTGGTATATTTAATGTTTTCAGTAACATGTACCAAAGGGGGGAAGTATGATTGAAGAACATCAAAGATAGACCAGGGTTATCTCAACAGTCACACGGAAGTGACTAACAGTCAGAAAGGTGGTAAGGTGGTGTGTCTGGGGCTTACAGGCAGGGGGTTGAGAATTCTAAACTAGCTCTGGATACATGAAACAGAACAAAGAAAAAAAATCAAGTAAAAAAATACAAAAATTGAGTAGGAAGACAACAGGCCAGCATAAAAGGACTCATTTGTAAGAGAAACATCATTAACTGGATTCATATGATTGATGCAGTTTTTGTTTTGTTTTGTTTGACACAAGGTTTCCCTGTATAGCCCTGGCTCTCCTGGAACTATGTCGATGAGGCTAACCCTGAACTCACAGAAATCCACTTGCCTCTGCCTCCCAAGTACTGGATTAAAGCCATGAGCCACCAATCATGGCTGGATGGTGATTTTAAACATGGACCTTTGAAAGAGAAGCAAACTCCTAAGGCAGTTTGCGTTCATCCTCACAGTGGGTGAACTCGCCTGCCGGGCTAACAAGCAGCAACAATAACGGCCGACTCCTGAACCTGTGGGTCTGATAAGATTCTTTTAAACCTTTTAAATCAGTTGAGATCAGTAGATTTATGGTTTTATTAATAATTTAATATTAATAATTTTAGTTTTCTAATAGTAGGAATTTAACTCAGAGCCACTCACTCTAGTACTGAGCTGAGTTACACTCTCAACCCAGGAGAAAAAGTCAGAGTATAAAGACCATAGCAAAACTGACTTGATGCACAAACACCAGATGCTTTGATTTGCTATACTTTGCTTTATTCGATTACAATCTTACAAAGTCTAATTTCATTTCCTTGTTGGGCGGGATGCTAGGGACTGGACCTGGGGCCTTGTGCATGTATGTCCTTCAGCTGACCCAAGTGTTGCTATTCAATGGCTTGTGTCTGAGTACACTGATGAGTTCAACAAGGTCATTCAGCTTAGTCTAAGCTGCTTGAAAGCACACCCCTAAGCCACTGACTTTGGAAGTACCAAGTACTTACATGATGGTTTCCAATTATGAAGGAGAGGGCTGTTAGAGACTGGCTGGACAACCATACATGTATTTTGGCTATATTCAGGATTTAGCTATATTAAGCTATTTTCAACTGTAACTGAAAATTCTGTCTTAATGACAGCTTTCAGAACCATCACAGAGCTAGACATAGTAGCACATGCCTGGAATCTGAGCACTTACTTAGAATTGTTAGCTGAGTGGGATCAAAGTAGACTACAGCCCTGTGTCTATACTTAGTGAGATGCTATCTCAAAAACAAAAACACACCACTCCCCAACAAACAAAAATCAAAAGCACAGAGGTGCTAACATCTTGATATATTTGGGATGTGAACAGTTTTTGTTTTTATTTAGGTCTGGAATGTAGTCTTGACTGACCTGTGAAATATAAATGGAAATGTATTTGAGTCTTCATGTATCAGGCTATTCTGAAAAGCTCTGTAGTTTTTGGCTATTCTTGTTCTGCTTCTTGAGACAGGGTTTTGAATTTGCTATGCAGCTGGTGATATTGGGATTACAGATGTATGCCACCACAGCTGGCTTCTTATTCTAAAGATTAGTAAAGCAGACAGTTTAGTATTGGTCTATAGAAACATGCACTCTTGTCCTGATATCTGAAGCCAAAGTTCTCAAATAGGCTCTCCCCAAGCAAGCTAGGTAGACCTGCTGGTCAACAGCACCAACTTGCGATTTACTGCAGAATATCCTACTGTCAAAATTTTAATTTTAGACATTAAAATTGGGGGTAAAATGTCAACAAAAAGCAAAACTCCTTTGACAATCTTTCTCTAAAATATGATTAACTATGAAAAATGCATCTTTTTGTGGTGGAGGCTGTTGAGACAAAGCATCACTAGGTAGTCCAGGCTAGCCTCAACTTTCAGCAATCCTCTCTCCAGTGGCAATCATAGGTTTGAGCAACCATTTCCGGCAAAAATGTATCTTATGGCTCTAAAAATCCCTGGAACCAATGAAGTAAGAATTAAACCATTGTTTTATATGGCTTTTAGATAATTCTGTGTATCTGTTTTCTTTTAGTTTGATTCAGTATTCATTCCTATAAAGGAAGCCCTAAACATTCAAGTCTGAAGTGTGGCAGCAGCATGAACATGAGTCAGACATGTTAAAAGCATACTAATAAGTCAACCAGCTTGTTGGTTTTGCTTTTATAGACAGGGACTCTCATGTAGCCCAGGCTGGCCTAGAACTCAGAATCCTCTTGCCTTCATATTCTACAACACAGGCCCCTATGCCCAGCTTAAACTAGCTCCCCTCTAAACTGAAATATTTGTGAGTTATTTAAAAATACCATTTAAAAATTCTATTGAAAGCATTTTAGATGTGTAGGAATAAAATGTGGTCAAAAGCTGTTTCAGGTTAAACCCGCTCACAAGATGAGACGCTGCTGTACTTGTTTGGGATGGGTCTTGCTATCATGCCACCTGCTCCTTAATGTTTTAGATTAAGGGCAAGTACGACCAAGCTTCCTTCAGATAAAAATTTGCTCTGTTTTGTGAGAGACAGTTTCCCTCTATGGCCCAGGCCCTTGCTACTCTGTAGCCTAAGCTCATCTCTAACTTCTAGTTCCTTCTGTCTCACCCTTGTGATTACTGGATTATAGGTCACCATTCCCATCTTTAAATGGAAATTAAATTTGTTGGTAACTTGATATATCCCTGGTTTGTAGGACAATAACTGATTCTTCATTATACCAACTATCTTAAAGGACAGGCAACTGTCTAAAAGACGTCCATCAAAAACATTTCCTTTTACCCACTCGGCTGGGCATTTAGCAGCAGCCTATTCCTCTCTTGCACGTTTGGAAGTGAGATGTGGACATCTTTTTCTAACATGAACACATAATGAAGATACACTAAACGTCTCTTGGACACAGATTGGCCTCAAACCCATGGCACCTCCCCCCCCCCCCGTCTCAGTCTCCTGAGTGAGTACAGGTATGAGCCAAAATTTATCAGAAGAAAGAAATTAACATTTCTGTATGTATTGCTGGGTATTGAATCCATACATGCTAAGAACACACTCTACCATCGAGCCACACCCCAACTCAAGGTTAAATTTTTATAGCAAATTTTCTGTTATCAACTGTATTTTAACTAAGCAAGTTAACTCTGTAAATAGTCTTTACTCCACTGAATAAAAATGACTTTGGAAAAGAAGGGGTAAAACAGGCAGTTTAACCAGCGACATTTAAAAAACTGTACTCTTATAGCATGACAGCCAGTGTCTCAGAGAGGCTTTGACACACAACACTGTGATGCTACACTGTGTAACTGGGCAAGTAGTTCTAGAGTAGCCTGCAGAGAGAGCCCACGCTCCCAGCCTTCAGCTTGGAGAACAGCTCCTGCTCCCAGACTTGGGAGAGGGGCTCCAGGAGAACCTGTCCATTCTTAGAGCTAAAAAAGCAATGTCTAATTCCTCTTCAACTCCGTTCTTCTTTTATTGCGTCTCTTTCGTTTTTCTTTGACTGCCATCCAGGCTCCAAACAGCAGAGCTTCCAGAGACACAAAAGTTTCCACTCGTACAAACAAGTGCATCTTGTGAAAGACACACAGAGAACGAAGGCATTTTTACAGAAGCGTAATAAATCTTACAATCCAAACAGTGCTGATGTCGTGTCGGCAGCCCTGCTCACGTTGCAAACTACCTGGAAGGGCTCGAGAGAAGTCTGGCCTAAGGGTTCGTGCAATTTATCATAAGACTGTAGAATCTCAAGCACAGGTAAAGTTCAAACATGAAAGATTTCCTAAAAGACAATAATGAAGGAAGACCTTTCTCCTCCTAAGTTAAAAATCACAGAACAAATCAGACTGTCCACACGGGCAGGAGATGGATCCCAGGACTCTTACCACAGACACCCCCACACCAGAGAGCACACTATTCCAATGAACCACCACAGAAATGATTTCCACTGTTCATTTCCAACTATCTATGGCTATCAATTGAGTCGGGCCTGGGGCTGCTTTTTACAGGGAGGGGGCCTCCCATGGCGCACAATGTGCTTTTCTAAACTGTCCAGAATGGCTACGGCAATCTGCTGCACGTGGGGATCTGTCTGCTCACGCTCTCTGATGTTGTACAAATGCTGCAGTCCGCCTTCTTCAATCAGCATGCTGCAATACCTTGAAGCTGAAAGAAAACATGACAACATTTCTCTTAAAGTATTTTTAAGTTTTGAAGTTATCCCACAAACCATACAAGTTCTTCAGAGCTTAAAACTAAACAAAATACACATCAAAGGCCAGGCATCATGGTGGTACACGAAGTAAATCTACAAACTAAAAACTCTGTAAAAAAAAAAAAAAAAAAAGACAGATCTCCATGAGTTCGAGGCCAGCCTGGTCTACAGGAGCTAATTCCAGGACAAGCATCTGCCTCTATTATCTCTTTATTACCTTGAATTCAGGAATCTTAAAAAAAATTATTCTTATTTTATGTGTATGGGTATTTTGTCTACATGTCCACATGTATGTCTGTATATTCCTTTTATGCCACGGTCCAGCGAAAGGCAGAAAAAGGTATCAAATCCCCTGGAACTAGAGTTACAGATGGTTGAATCACTAGGTGGATGCTGAGAATCTCAAACTTAGATCTTCTGGAAGAACAGTTGCTGCTCTTAACTGCTGAGCAATCTCTTTAGCCCAGCTTTTTGTTTTGTTTTGTTGAAACAGGGTTTCTCTGTATAGCCCTGGCTGTCCTGGAACTTGCTCTGAAGACCAGGCTGGCCTTGAACTCAGTGATCCACCTGCCTCTGCCTCAGGAGTGCTGGGATTAAAGGCATGCACCACTACTGCCTGGCTATCCAACTATTTTTTTAAGTGTGACTATTTCTTTCTCTTTCTCTTTCTGATTTCTTTTTCTTTTTTTTTAAAAAAATATTTATTTATTATGTATACAGTACTCTGCCTGCATGTATTCCTGCAGGCCAGAAGAGGGCACCAGACCTCATTACAGATGGTTGTGAGCCACCATGTGGTTGCTGGGAATTGAACTCAGGACCTTAGGAAGAGCAGGCAGTGCTCTTAACCTCTGAGCCCTCTCTTCAGTCCCTGATTTTTTTTTTTTTTTGTGAGACATGGTCTTGTCATGCAGATCAGAGTGGCTTTAAACTTTTTTTGACCCTGTCTGAACTGCCTTAGTGGTGGAACCTAAGTGTGCCACCAAGCACACCTGCCAAACACTTTGGAAGGATTCACTTAATTCGAAACATAACCTAAATCTCTTACTCTATATTTTAAAAGTGTCTTGGGCCTGGGAAATTGTTCAGTGGGTACGAGGGTTTGTGTCCAAGCATGAGAGCCTGAGTTCTAATTGTAGAACCCACATAAAAAGCCAGGCATGGCCATGTGTGCATGTAATTTCAACTTTATGGGATGAGAAAGGCCAGTCCCATGAAATCCCTGACCAGCCAACCTACCCAAAACAGCAAACTTCTGGTTCAGTGAGAATAAGGCAGAAGGCAAGAGAGGAAGACACCTATGTTCCTCTCTGGCCTTTGAATGTCTACGTATGGGTGCATGTACCCACAAAATCATGTGTATATCTCTCGCATACACACAGAGAAACACGCGCATGCACACACATACTTGCAAGTAAATGTACTTAAAAATCAGTGCAGCCAGGGGTCATGGAGCACCCCTTTAATTCTAGCACTTGGGAGGCAAAGACAGGTGGATCTCTGTCAGTTCAAGTTCAGCCTGGTCTATACAGTAAGACCTATTTCAAACAAAACAGAAAACAGTGGGATATACACTTTAAAAAATGCTTTTGAGCTGGGTGTGGTGGCACACCTTTAACCCCAGCACAAAGGCAGAGGCAGGCAGAACTACATGAGTTCAAGGCCAGTCTGGTCTACAAAAAGAGTTCCAGAACTGGCTCTGCAGCTACTGTGAAACTTTGTCTTGACAGCCCCCTCCCCCAAAAAAACCCAACCCAAACCAAAATCTTTAAAAAAAACAAAACAAAACAACAAAACAAACCTTTGTCTTTCTGGGCTGAAGGTGTGTGCGTGTGCACACACAGGCACACACACACGTCTTGTTCAACCATGTTCTAGGCATGGTGGTACATATCCATCTCACCACTCAGAAAGTTGAGGCACGAGAACTGCTGAGAGTTTATGACCAGCCTGAGCTATACAGTCAGCTCTGTTCCAGCTTGTCAGGACTACATAGGAAAGACTCAACAACCCTTCACCCCTCAAAATGACTTTCTGTAAAGGAGCATTTCACCTGAACCATAGTTCTAATTTTGGTACATACGGTTCTTGCTGCAAACATGTTGCATGGCCCAAACTGCCCACAGCTGGACTCCCGGTGTTGTAAAACAGCCAAGCAGTGGGAAAAATGGATTAAAGGACCTAAAGGTTCAAAACAAAAGAATCAAAGTTACATTTTATACAAGCATCATTTTCTAAGCAGTGACTCTTTTTTTAAAAACATTTATTTATTTATTTATTATGTATACAATATTCTGTGTGTGCCTGAAGGCCAGAAGAGGGCACCAGACCTCATTACAGATGGTTGTGAGCCACCATGTGGTTGCTGGGAATTGAACTCAGGACCTCTGGAAGAGCAGGCAATGCTCTTAACCACTGAGTCATCGCTCCAGCCCCTAAGCAGTGATTCTTACATGATTAAGAAAAGACATGCCATTTCTAGACTGATACAAAGGGTCAATACACGTCTTCTCTTTGTCACAGCTACTTCAGAAAGGATTGCATTGAGACACCATGGCACTGTATGAAGGGAGGGGGGTGTGGATTTTTCAAAAGTTTTTTGTTTTGTTTTCCTTTTTGGTCTTCCCCTTTAGATATCTGAAAAAGTACACTTTACACTTTAAAATTAGAAGAAGACAGGTGTGGTAGCTCACACTTTAATCGAGGGGCAGAGGCAGATAGAGTTCTGTGAGTTTGAGGCCAGCCTGGTTTACAGACTGAGTTCCAGGACAGCCAGAGTGACGAAGAAAGACACATCTTTAAAAAAACAAAAACAAAAACCAAAAACAGGTAGGGGGATGATGGGGGAAGAAGAAGTAAAGACGTACTTATTAATAAAGGGAGTCGTTCACCAAGGAGCTGGAACAACTATACATACAGATGCACCAAAGGCATCTGGGGCTGCTAGCTTCAGAGAAAAAAAAAACACAGCCTGAGCCATATAAGAGCCTTAAAAGAATAACCTAATGGTGTACACTCACAGTCCTAGAAAAACAGGCACACCCCAACACAGTGAAACAATAAACAGGGATGAAAGCAATAAACATGGAGACTAAAAACAATGCACAGAATCAATCAAGTATGGAGTTGCTTCTTAGAAAAAATAAAATTGGCAGTTCACTTAGGCAAACTAACCAAAAGAAAGAGATGACCCACACTAATACAATTATAACAGAGAACAATGAAGTCCTGAGGAGCATTAGAGAATATCTGAAAAAGTATATTCCAGAAAATTGGAAAAATGGATAAAATTCTAAATGATCTACTAGAATTAAGCCAAGAGGACATACATAACTTAAAACAGATTCATAACAAGCAAAAGATTGAAAGAAGGTGGAGGGAAGCCAGAAATGGTGATGAACCTTTAGTCCCAACACTCAAGTGGCAGTCAGATCACAAGGAGCTAACGGTCTAAACAGTGAGTTCAGGGCCAGCCAGGGCTATGTAGTGAGACCTGCCTAAAAAATAAATAAAATAAAATAAACCAACTGCCAAAACAAACAAACAAACAAAAAATCCAAAAGTAAATTAAATTCTTATAGAGCAAATTTAAGAACACATTTAGAAGACTGTGTATCATGGCCAAGCTGGCTTCATTCCAGGGATTCGGGACAGCTCAACATATGCACATCAATAAACAGCACATAAACAGATTGGAGAACAAAAATATTGATCATCTCAACCATCAAAGACTTTATACAAAGTTCACTTCTCATGATAAAAGTCTGAGCAAATTAGCCTGATACAACAGGCCCTGTAGGCTCCCACTATACACCAAATGGCAAAAAGGTATTTCCTTTAAAACCAGGACTGAGACAAGGGTGTCCACTTTCTCCGCTGTTACTTAATTTAGGACTCAAGTTTTAGCTAGAGAAATAAGACAAAAGAATGTAATAAATGAGCCATAAATGGGAAAGGAGGGTGAACCCCAGTATCTGTCTCTGAGTTTGTATTATTTGTGCTATACACTGCCAAATCAGTAGCCTTTCTATATAGTAGTGGCAATTTGCTGAGAAATAATTCAAGAAGAAAATTCCATGCAGAATAACGTCATAAAAAATAACATATCCAGAAATAAACCTAGCCAGGAAACTAAAATCTTCTAGAATGAAGACCTGAAGACACCAAGAAGGAAACTGAAGGAGACACTGAAAGACAGAAAGGCCTCCAAGTTCATGGCTGGTGTAATTAATGGTGTGAAAATGGTCACGTGACTGAAGGCAATCTGCAGATTCAGTACCACCTCTATGAAAATCCAATGACATTTTTCACAGAACTAGAAAAGGCACCCTGAAGTTCTATTAAAACGCACAAGCAGGACTGTGACACGGGCTCTGGGGTAAACACTTGCAGTGTAAGTCGGCTGAGAGAGTGAGCTCCAGACCTGGACAGAAAACTGACTGGCAAAGGTTCTCCTGACTGTCTAATGCACATCATGACATGTTGGCAAGAGCACCCCACACACAAATAAATAATAATCGACTTTTAAAAAGAAACAGAAAAGATCCTGGATATGTCAAAACAATCTAAGCAGAAAAGAGCACTGCTGGAGATGGCAGACCTCAAAGTACAGCACAGAGCATAACAAAACAGCAGCACTGGGACAAAGCCAGACATGTAGGCTAGCGCAATAAAAAAGGAGGACCCAAATATGCCTACAAAACTACAGCCACCACCTTTGACAGTGGTGACAAGAAACAAACAACAACAACAACAACAACAAAAACATACACTGGAGGGGCTGGAGAGATGGCTGAGCAGCTAAGAGCATTGGCTGCCCTTCCAGAGAAGCAGAATGACTATGTATGGAAAGAAAGAGGCCAGAGACGGGGAGGAAGGGTAAGAGCAAAAATACAAACACAACACATGATTCTTCCAAAAAATTAGTGCTGGCATTAAAGAGATAACACACTCAGTCTTAGATACACACTTTAATCCCAGCACTCAGGAGGCAGAGGCAGGCATGGATCTCTGTGAGTTCAAGGCTAGCCTGGTCTATGAAGCAAGTTCCATGATAGCTAGGACTGTTACATAGAGAGAACCTGTCTTGGAGGACCAAAATAAACAGATACACACAGAGACAGACAGACAGATACCTTAAAGACCTTGATGTATAAGGTAGGAACAGAGATCGTCAATAATAATGGACAGAACACCACAAAGAAGGCACAGATTTGCTTTTCTCTTTGTGTTATTCTAAACAAAATGGGTTTAAAAACTGTTCAAGAGGGATTGGAGAGATGGCTTGGCAGTTAAGAGCACTGGCTGCTATTACAGAAGCCCCAGGCTCGATTCCCAGCTCCAACGTTGGTTCACAACCATTTGCAACTCCAGTTCCAGAGGACTGATTCCATGGTCTCTGAGGGAACTGCATGCATATGGTACACAGACATACAATCAGGCAAAACACTGACCATCCGCCCAAAATTAAAATCAAATCTAAAACAAGTCAAAAACATACCAGAATGTATGAAGTAACCAATAAGTTGTAATAAAATTACACAGCAATGGAAATATTTCAGACAATAAGTTGCCTATCTTATCACTTAATTGTCATAGACAGATTTAGCTATCCAGAATGCCGCTTTTGCTGTTAGTGTTATTATTAGATTATATATATATATATTGGGGGGGTAAGGTAGGATGGGAGTTGAGGTCTCCTGTAGCCTAGGATGACCTTCAACTTCTGATCTTCCTATCTCCACTACCCCAGAATTAGCATTTCTGTCTCAGGCAGTCACACTCAGTTTATGTAGTGACAGGGATCTCAAGCCCAGGGTTTTATAAATCACAGACAGCACTGTATCAGGTAGAGAACCCCAGCCTTCTCAGTCTCTTTAAATTTGAACAGCAGAGAACAAATTCCAGGAAATCTACCTTCAATAAATATGGATAAAGAAGAGAATGTTGAATGAATAGTAGAAAATAAATCAAAATACTTTTTAAAGCCCCCTTGAGACAAGGTCTTGTCCTATAGCCCAGGCTGGCTGGGAATTTGGCAATCCTGTCTCGGCCTCTTTGGTGCTCGGATTATATGCATGTACCACCATGAGCAGCTACTTTACATGACTTTACTCAAAACTAATACTATGAGAGATACTTGAAGATTGTAAAAAAAAAAAAAAATGTGACCGGATTACTTAATAATCATGCTAATTACCTGTATGCTACCATCTCACACTCTGGAGTTGGCCATTTCAGAATAGCTGAATGCTAGAAGACATAAAACATAGAATGCATTGCAATATTTATTTTTTAGCAATATTACATCATAATGAAGCTTTCATATTTAACTATAACAAATGTAACTTATATCATTCCAGAAAACAACAAATTATCCTACCAAATCATCAAGAAGAGAATTCCTCTGGCTGCGGCTCAAGGTCCATGCTTGTTCACCTCTGGATATTAAGTGGGCGATAATCCCAGCTGCAAAGTAACTGACTTCTACTTCCACGCTGTGTAGGAGACTGCTGATATGGTCTATGAAATCCTTCCACATTAGTTCAGAATGTAGCTCTTGTACTTCAGCTATATTGTTCTGGGAGAAAAAGAAGGTATAAAAGTTAGTCTTAGCTGGATGGTGGTGGCACACGCCTTTAGTCCCAGCACTTGGGAGGCAGAGGCAGGCGGATCTCTGTGAGTTTGAGGCCAGCTGGGTCTACATGAGCTACTTCCAGGACAGGCTCCAAAGCTACAGAGAAACCGTCTCAAAAAAAAAAAAAAAAAACCAAAACAAAACAAAAAAGTTAATCTTAGGCAAATTAAATGGTTAAAAGGACTGTTTTCAGACACTAGACAAGCACTCCTGGTGATCTCTGACAAAGTATGCAAGCTGGTCACTTTGCAGACTGGAGCAGAGGTAAGGGGAATAGTGGTAGTTTGGGTAGTAAATGTCCCCTATACTTAGATACTTGAACTGATGATGCTGTTGGGAGGTTTAGGAAGTGTGCCCTTGATGTAGGAGTTTATCACTAGGGGCGTACTTCAAGGTTTCAAAGTCTTGCACCATTCCTGGTGCCCCTTCTGCAACATGCCTGTAGTTCATGACGTGAGCTGTCACCTATTCCTGTTGCCATCCTGATACTGGCTGTCATGGAGTCTTTCCTTAAAAAGTTTTTTTGACTAAGTTCAACACTAGCCTAGTCTACAGAGCTTGTTCCAGTACAGCCTGGGCTACACAAACAAACTGTTTTGTTTTTGAGATTTTTAAAGATATATGTGTGTGAGTGTGCATTAGGTGTATGCAGTGCAGAGCCTGGGGGCCAGGGGAAGGCATGTGATCCCCTGGCTGGAGCTGCAGATGGTTGTGATTCTCCACATGGGTGTAGGGACTTGACTCTGGGTCTTCTGGAAGAGCAACCAACATTTTCTTTTTTCTTTTTTCAAGACAGGGTCTCACTCTGTAGACGAGGCTGTCATCAGTCTCACAGAGATCCACCTGCCTCTGTCTCCCGAGTGCAGAATAGAGGGTGTGCACCACTACACCAGGCTTGTTTTATCTTTTTAATTTAATAATTATATTTATTTTCCATTTTCACTAGATGTTCAAAACAACACAACATCATCTTTCTATATTTCTTCTGTGTTTTTTCTTTGACACGTCTCACTACGATGTAGGTTAGCTCTGAATTTACAGATTCACCTGCACTACCACATCAGCTTCCTTCCTTCTTTCTTCTTGAGACAAGGTATCATGAAACCCTGGCTATGCAGAACTTCTTCTATGCTTTGAACTTCTGATTCTCCTATCCTTACCCTTCATCTCTCAAGTGGTAAGATTACAGGTGGATGTAATCTCATTCTACTTTATACTCATCGTTTATACTTTCTTTAAACACCCAAATTTATGTGATGTAGAGGATGGAAACCAAGTTTCATGCATGCTAGACATGCACTCTTCTAACTGACCTATATCCCCATTTATTTATCGTGTGTGTGTGTGTTTCTCACATGTATAAGTCAGAAGACAACTTGGAGATGAGTTCTTTTCTTCTATCATATGGGTTCTAGGATCAAGCTCCTATCATCAGGCTCCTGTAGCACAGATAATAAAAACCCAGTGACAGACATTGGGGTTCAAGCTGGAGATCAGAAAAGCAAAGTGGCTAGCCACTGGCTCTTACCTCTACCGAAATGGGCGATCCTGCCTCCACAAATCCTCGGACTGAGACCGAGCCTGAGACCTGTCTCCTCCCGTTTTATATCCCTCTCTAGTGCTAGGATTAAAGGCATGTACCACCACCGCCCAGCCTCTATGGTTAACTAGTGTACTAGTGTGGCTGCTGGGATTAAAATTGTGTGTCACAGACGGAGACCCACATTGGAGCACCAGACTGAGCCCCCCAAGGTCCAAAAGAGGAGCAGAAGGAGGAAGAACATGAAAAAGAAAATCAGAACCGCAAGGGGAACGATCACCCACTGATACAAGGGGACTGATCTAATGAGAGTTCACCAATGCCAGTTGACTGGGACTGAAGGAGCGCTTGATCCAACCAGATTCTCTGGAGGAGGCTGGATTCCCTGAATGTGGCTGGCCCGAAGTCTTTCTAAAAAGCCATTGACAATGACTCTGGGACTTGTTTCCTCTGCATATTCTGGATTTTTGGAGATCCAGTCTGTTTGAATACTCACCTTCCTGGACCTGGAGGGAGCGGGGAGGAACTTGAACTACCCACAGGGCAGGAAACCCTGACTGCTCTTAGGGATGGAGAGGGAAGAGGAGAGGGAGTGGGGGGAGTGGGAAGGTGTTGGGAGGAGGGGCGAAAATGGAAACTTTTATATTTTAATAAAATAAAATAAATAAATAAAATTGTGTGTCACTATTGCCTGGACTGTACGGCTGACTAGCGTGGCTACTTTGCCTTCTGACCTTCAGGTAAGCTTTATTTATTAAAACACAAATAATAAACCACTCTAGGCTCTGTGGGGAGTATCCTAATCAACATGGGCCTTGAGGGCCCAAGTAGCAACCTTCAAAGTACACACTCAGACAGAAAATAATTATGCTTTGGAATTAATCAGGAATGGTGTACAACTTACCAAAAGACCTAGAACTTTTTGTTGAATGGATGACTCAGTTGGGAAAGACTGTACAAAAGAAAAGAGAATGTGTAACTATTTAAAGAAACAAATATAACAAATAAGTGCTCAAAGAAATCACCCACATCCAGCTGCTAAGTATATTTTCATTCTGACCTCTAGAACTCTCATGAAGAGTTCCAACCCTTGATTTTCAATGAAGTGTCTGCAGGTTGTTGGGGATTCATCTGTGAGGTTCCAGAGTGCACTCAAAGTAAATTTCAATGTAGTATCCACTGAATTTTGATTAGTTTTCTGCTTCACTATTTGAAGAAGTTGCTAAGGAAGAAAGAGAATTTTTCATTATTGAATTGTTGTCATAATTTGAGATTACCAATAAGCACAAATCATGAGGAATATTCTCCTAGTTTAAAGCATTCCCTGTAAAGGTTAAAACTTTGTCTGTTCGTCCGTCCGTCCATCCGTCCGTCCGTCCATCCATCCATCCATCCATCCATCCATCTAGCTATCTAATGTGGGGGGATGTGTCCAAGTCACAGCATGTTTGTAGAGGTCTGTGAGTTCCACCCTGTGGGTCCTGGGAATTGAAACAGGGTTGGCAGGAAGCATCTTCTTGCTGAGCCATTTTGCTAGCCCTAGTATGTTTTCGTATTGTTTCTTCAGATAGTTTTGCTATGCAACCCAGGGCTAGTCAACTTGACACAAGCTACAGTCACTCTGGAAGAGGGACTCTCTCTCTTTTTTAAATCATCTATTTAAATTTATTTTATGAGTATTGCTGTGAAGGTGTTAGATCCCCTGCAACTGGAGTTACAGACAGTTGTGAGCTTCCAAGTGGTGTTGGGAATTGAACCCGGGTCCACTAGAAGACTAGCCAGTGCTCTTAACCACTGAGTCATCTCTCCAGCCCCTCGAAGAGGACTCTCAAATGAGAAAATATCTCCATAAGATTGTAGGCAATTCTGTAGTGTACTTCCTTGATTAGTGCTTGCTGTAGAAGGGCCCAGCCCACTGTGGATGGTGCCTTCTCTGAATAGGTAGTCCTGGGGATGTATAAGAAAGCAGACAGGGCAAGCATTCCTTCATGGCCTCTGCATCAGTCTCTATCTTTCCTAGATGACAGACTAAGATGAAATAAACTCTTCTTTATCTGATTTTGATCCTGGTGTTTTATCACAACAATAGAAACCCTAAGAAAGCAGCCAAAGCTAGCTTCTAAGTCAAGATTCTCCTTTCTCAGCCCACAATTCCTTAGTCTGAACCTTCATTTTCCCTTCTTATCCTTCCCTTCATTTCTATTTGTTTTTCTGCAAACAATAGTTTAGTTAGTACTGTGTAGGAACTGCAAACTGCACTGTAAGAAGAGTACTTGCTTGTGTTCTCTCTCCCTCTCTGTTCCTCTCTTGGTCCCTTTCTCTGTGAGCAGGGTCTCATGCCGCCTTAAACTCACTATATACCAAGAATGATGTTGGACTCTGTCCTCCAGCATCTACCTCCCAAGTGCTGCAATTACAGGCATGTACTACCACACGGGGTTTATGTGGTGCTGAGGAGGCAAGTGCTCACTTCACACATGGAGCTATATCCCCAGACCTGCTTGTTTGCTTTCCTTCCTTCTTTCATGTGTGTGCAGTATCTTTTTTTTTAACTTATTTTGATTTTGTGTCGTGTGTGTGTGTCTCATGCGTGCATGTGTGTGCATGTGTGTACTGATGAAATATATGAAACACTGAACTTTTGTAGTCAGAAGAGAGCTTGCAGAAGTTGGTTCCCTTCCTCCACCACTAGTTCCCAGGGATTGAACTCAAGTCACCAGATTTGGTGGCAGTTGCCTCACTGCTGAGCCATCTCACTGGTCGTGAACCAACTATCTTAACTGGTCATAGATTGGGGGCTGGAGAGATGGCTCAGCGCTTAAGAGAATTGCCTGCTCTTCCAAAGGTCCTGAGTTCAATTCCCAGCAACCACATGGTGGTTCACAACCATCTGTAATGAGGTCTAATGCTCTCTTCTGGCCTGCAGGCATACACGCACACAGAAACATAATAAATAAATTAAAAAAAAAAACTGGTCATAGAATACCATTCTAATAAAGCCTGGGACTTAAAAAAATGAAGAGGGATTGAAGGGAGACAAAACTAGTATGTATTAACTTATAGTTAATAATACCTATAGTGTCATTTCCCAGGGACAGAAACTGAATCTAAAATATTAAGTAGTTTGGTCATAATCAACTTGATAAAAGAATTAGAAGGCTCAGAAGGCCTAATTCTAACAAAATTTCAAGGTTTTTTTTTTTTTTTTTTTTTTTAGGAAAAAAGAAAAAGGCTGGGCGTGGTGGCTCACAACTACACACAATGGTAAGAGAATTGAAGTTAATATTGGATATTAAGATGACAATAGCTTTGACATGTCTTCTCGTAAGCTACACCTATTGTAACTAACCTAAGAAATGCAGTTTACGAGCTAGGCATGGTGGTGCATGCCTTTAGTCCCAGCTCTTGGGCACGAGTAACATGCATCAGGCTCTGGGTTCACCCTTAGGAAGAACAAACTTAGCTATTAGCACCATATTAACTCTGCTTACACGAAATGGATCAAGTAGACCACTTTCTTAAATTTCTAGTATACTTTCAGCCAGAATTGCTGAGATATCTTCATAATTCCTAAAAGTTCTCCACCTCTGTTTTTTGAGACAGGGTCTCATTAAGTTGCCCTGGCTAGCCTAGATTTTACTATGTAGACCACTCTGGCCTTGAACTTACAGAGATCCATCTGCCTCTATCTCAAGTGTTAGGATTAATGGCATGTTACCATCATGCCTGGCTCCAAAAAACGACCCTGTTTATTTTTATTTACAATAAAATTTATTTTTATTTTATGTGTATATGTACGTGCCTGAGTGTTTATGTGTATCACACACGAGCACTGCCCATCAAGGCCAGGAGAACATTGAATCCCCTGGAAGTGGAGTCGCAGGTAATTGTAGGCCACAATGTGGGTGCTATGAAGCAAACCCTGGTCCTCTGCAAGAGCAGCAGTGCTCTTAACCCCTGCGCGCAGGACTATCAGTTCACAGCTGCTTGCATCTATCAAGGACCAAAGTTACTTCAATTTAAAAAAAGATACACTTGGGCCTGGAGAGATGTCTCAGTGATTGAAGAACACAAGCAGAGAACTCCCAGCATCTACACAGTGGCTCACAACCATCCTTAACGCCAGTTTCAGGGTATCTGCCATCTTTTGACCTCTGCAGGCAACAGGCATGCACATGGTATACATACATACACGCAGGAAAAACACTCATACACATAAAAATGAAATAAAATAAATAATTATATAAAAATTGCAACAACAACAAAAACCCAGAATACAATTGGGGTCAGGAATACAGCTCAGTGGTGGAACACCAGCCTGGCATATGCAAGACCAATCCCTAGCTCTACAAATGACCAAAAATTAAAACAAAACAAAACCCAGGCAGTAGTCATGCACATCTTTAAACCCAGCACTCAGGAGGCAGAGGCAGGTGGATCTCTGTGAGTTCAAGGCCAGCCTGGTCTACAGATTGAGTTCTAGGACTGCCAGGACTGCTACACAGAGAACCCTGTCTCGAAGCCCACATCCCCCAAAAATCAAATCAAAACAAAACTGAATACAATCATTTATAAAAAGTGAATTAATTAAAAATATATATAGAAGCCAGGACAGGCGTGGTTCTGTAGCAGAAAGCCGACTTAGTATGTGTGAAGCCCTGGCTTAGCTCCCCAGGAACACAAACACCTATATACATACATACCCACAAAAGTATACCACACTACTTGTCAGGAGGAAAAAAGAAAAGAGAAGAATACTATTAGGGACTGGGGAGATGACTCAGAGATTAAGAGCACTGGCTAATCTTCAAGAGGACCTGGGTTTAATTATCAGCACCCACATGGCAGCTCACAACTGTCTGTAATTCTAGTCCCATGGGATCCAATTTACTCCTCTGGCATCCACAAGCACCAGGTCACCTCCACGCAGTGCACAGACATACATGGAAACAAAGCACCCATACAGGTAAAATAAATAATTTTTTAAAAGCTAAAAAAAAAAAACAAAAAAACAAAAAAACAAGATACCAACCAACCAAACAAACCAAACCACTATGTAGTGTTCTAAAAAGAGGGAAAATAAACTTACCCGGACAATGAAGAGCTCAGCACCAAGCTGTGCAGTTTGTTCTGTAGAAAGCTGGAAGCAAATATAAAACAAAGTAAATGTCCAAGCATTCATGGGTATAAGTTTACTATAATCCACCACAACAGCCTCCATAGCTAGACTGAAACAGCTCATTAGCTTCCAATTCTGCAGCAATTAACACAAATAAGCAGGCTAGCAAAGAGGTGTACTAACTTTTCTGGCACACAAATGGAAGGGGGCAGAATTAACTGTAACGAGAAACAACTGCCTTTAGGAAGTCATTCAGAAACGTTCAGGTACCTTAGCAGCCAGGATGGAAATGATAGCAACCGCCATTCTTTGCATGTTTTGATCTTCATGGTTGCAAAGCCACTGCATGACAAGCTTGGCTGCTTCAAACCTGAAAACACAAGAGGGTTTCCTTAATATTGGAGATCCAGGCACAATTTTAGGGATTCAGGTGAGGGTTGATGTTACAACTTAGTGTGTGGGAAGAGAAAGGAAGCTTTCTCTTAATGAGAGAGAATAACAAATTACCATTAGTGTCTTTTTGGTTTCTTTCCTATGCTGGGGACTGGACCCAGGGCCTTGTCTAGACAGAAGCTCTACCACAAAGATACATCCCCAGTCCTTTCTCTTATTTTATTTATTTCTAGTGTCTATCATTTTTATCTTCTTTTTGGTAGTGTGAGTTTCTGTCTATGATGTGCATGGGTGTGCATACATGCTATGATATACATGTGGCTGTCAGAGGACAACTTTTGAGACTCGGTTCTTTTCTTCCACTGTGGGTTCTAGAGTTTGAATTCAGATGGTCAGGCTTTTGTGGAAAGTGCTTTTACCAGCTGAGCCATCTTGCCAGCCCTTATTTATATCTTTTTGAGATAGGGTCTCATGTAGCTCAGGCTGTCCTCAAACTCTCTGTGTAGCCAAAGATGACCTTAAATTGCTGATCTTCCTGCCTCCACCTTCCATGTGCTGGGATTACTGGCATGTGCCACCATACCTGGCTCTTTGTTTTTATTCTGAGGCAGTCTTAATAAGGTACCAGGTAGGCTTTGAACTTTTGATTCTCCTACTGGGATTATAGGCCTGCACCACTGTGCTCATCAAAATGATAGCAATGGTGGAGAAGCAGGAGCATAGGGGCTGAGGAGAAAGCTCAGCTGGTAAAGTGCTCGCTGTGCAAGCATGCGGACCTGAGTTGAATCCCCAGCAACCATGTCAAAGAGCTCGGCATGGCAACGCATACCTGTAATCTTAACTCTGGGGAGGCAGAGACAGGAGGATCTCTGGGACTTGATGGCCAGAAGTCTAGCCCACTCCGTGAACTCCAGGTTCAGTGAGAGACCCTGTCTCAAAAAAATAAGGTAAGGAGCAATTGAGGAAGACACCCAATGTCAACCTCTGGTTTTCACACTGATACATTTGCACATGGTGCACACACACATATCAATTACAATACACAAACACAAACATACACAGAGACACAATAATGTAGAAATACAGTCAAAATTTGTATTTTATCTTCTACAACAAAAACATTTTAGTATTTCAATATCATAGCTTTAAGCATATTCTTTGTTAAAAACTTTAAAAAGTTATTTATACGTGAGCGTGTGCACACACACATCTTCTCACAAAGCATGCACACAGAGAACAACCTGAGGGAGTCATATTTCTACCATGTGGTCCTGGGGACTGAAACTCCCGTTGTCAAGCTATTACTTGCCTGTTAAATGGGACATCTTGAAGAATTCGGTCACTACAAAGTGAGAGGAGGCAATTCTTCTGTAACTAAAGGATAAAAAGGAGAAAACAAAACAAACAAAACCGAAAAGAACATCATTCTATTACCTGTTAGCCAAAGACAAGCTTTAAAAAAATATTTTAAAAATTATTGTTTAAATGTATGTAAGGAGAGTGTGAGCATGCTGAGTGCTGGAGATGGAACCCAGGGTTCATAAAAAAGCTCCAGTTAACTATCCAACTAAGCTATACAACTATCCAACTAAGCTCCAGTTACTTATACAACCAGCTCCAGTTACTGTTTTTAAATCTTGAAAAACACAATGTTTTTTCTTGGTTTGAGACAGATCTCTCAATTATATATCTCTGGCTGTCCAGGAACTTACTATGTAGACTAGGCTGGCCTCAAACTCACAGACCTCGTCTGCTTCTGCCTCCTGAGGTCTGGGATTAAAGTCATGCACCACCATGCCTGGCTCAAAATTATATTCTTTAAACTAATTCTTTATAAATGCTATCAAAAATAGATTGATTGCTTTATGTTTATAAATAAAGTTTATAAGAATAAACTTTATTTTTTAACTATATATTTATTATGTATACAGTGTTCTGCCTACACGAATGTCTGCATGCCAGAAGATGGCACCAGATCTCATTATAGATGGTTGTGAGCCACCATGCAGTTGCTGGGAATTGAACTCAGGACCTCTGGAAGAGCAGCCAGTGCTTTTAACCTCTGAGCCATCTCTCCAGACTAAGAAATTTTAGATTTTTAAACATGGGAATTCAACTCGGGTTTTATATCAGCACATTAAATCATGATCTTTGAAAATCCTTTAAATTGAAAAAAAATTATTTTTATTTTGGGAGTGTTTCGTCTGTTTATGTATGTGACCAGCATGTGTACCTACTGTCTGCAGAGGTCAGAAGATAGCAATGGACCACAGGGAGGTTGTGAGCCTCTATGCCGATACTGGGAACCAAACTTGGGTCCTCTGTAAGAGTAAGTCTTGGCCGCTATGTCAGCTCTCCACCCCACCCTATTTTTGGTGTTTGTTTCACAACAAACAAACAAAAGAGCCCAAACTGGCCTCTAACTTACTATGTTGCTGAGGATGACTTTGAACTTTTAATCTTCCTGCTTTTACTTCTGAAGTGCTGGGGTTACAGGCAAGCAAGTGTACACTCTACTCCAAGGGAAGGAATCCTGGACTTTGTATATTCAAGGCAAGCAATCTCTGAACTGCGCTATATTCTTAGGCCCTGGTATTTACGTCTCTCAGGATACTTTCCTAGTTTTCAACTGTCCTAACTGCCTCTTCTTGAGCTCCCAGCAGTGCAGTACTACTTAGTTGAAATGTCTGGAAGTACAAACACCGAACTTCAGAGCTTTTAATGTAAGGCAAGATTTCAAAGAGCAGGTTCTGTTGGAGCCATTATCTTGAAAAATGGTTGGGAAAAACAGTGGACCTATTATGGAAATAGGAAGGCCACACTAAGGGCAAGCGGCTTGTGACCAAAGTGTAGAAAGGACAAGTATTTAAATTTAGAAACATCTCCAGGCAGTGATGGCACACACCTTTAATCCCAGCACCTGGGAGGCAGAGGCAGGCAGATCTCTGTGAGTTTGAGGTCAGTCTGGTCTACAAAGAGAGTTCCAGCTAGCTAGGACTACACAGAGAAACTCTGTCTTGAAAAATCAAAAACAAAATAAAACAATAAAAAAACCAACCTAAACAAACAAAAAATAATAATTGGGAATATTACCAATTGAGCAGACCAAATATAAAAATCCAAAATCTGAAATGCTCCGAAATAGGAAGCTCTCTGAATATCACATAGGCATCAAGCATCAAAGGTTTCTTTCTTTCTTTTTTTTTTTCAGTCTCTGATTTTGAATTTTGACATTAGGGTTCTTAAGCTGCCTTGTTTCTTAGTACTTACTGTGCCATGCTACATTATATGTTTTTCTGTCTGAACTGCAGACCTCATCATAGGGGCACATACATTAAAATGAATAAAGAGACACTAAACTTAATAGAACTGATGGCTTAAAATGGTAACAGAGAAAAGCATCACTGCATCTGATCGATGGCTTAGTCTTTCTGTAAAACACCATAAGCAAACAGAAAAGATGACAATTTGTTCCAAGTACTGACCATCTGGAATTTTGACTTTTGTGGCTCTAGCCTCAAATATGCAAGTATTTAAGAATTCTGTATACTGCCATTCACCAAATTTGGCTATCACTGGCCTAATCCCACACTGTCCTTCCTACATCCTGGTCACAAGCAACTTGCCCTCTGAAATGGCATGTACATTTCCATATAGGTCCCACTGCTTTTCTTACCCATTTTCCAAGATGTGACTCCATCACTTGTTCTTTGAGTCTCCCTGTCCCTGTCCACACACCATGTACCTGACTGCACTACTTGCTTCCCTCAACGGCCTATGGCATTCAGTTCAAACTGCTGAAAAATAAAATGCTCATAATAGCATCCAGCAGCTGCAACTTTTCCTTCTGTCAGGGGTTTCCTTATTTTGATAGAAGCCTTGCTAGGTTGAGTAGAATGGCTTGTAACTCCTGGGCTCAAAAGACCTTCTTTCCTCAACCTCTCTAGTAGCTGGGATTTACAGGTACATAACAGCATGCCTATCTAAATATTAAGTCCTTTTTTTCAGATTTATTTATCTAATATCTATGTGTGGGTGTGTGCGTGAGTATACACAGGTACCATGTGTATGCAATGCCTGCACAGATCAGAAGAGGGCATCGAATTCCCCTGAAGCTGGTTTTACAGGTGATTGTTAGCTGCTATGTAGGTGTTGGAAATGCATCTAGAGTCTCTGAAAGAGCAGAAAGTGCTCTTAACCACTGAACCACCTTTCCAGTCCCATAAATTAAGTAACATTTAAACAATTTGCTGGGCGATGGTGGTGCACATATTTAATCTCAGTACTCAGAGGGCAAAGGCAGTCCAACCTGGTTTACAGAGCTAGTTCCAGGACAGCTAAGGGTATAGAGAGAAACCCTGTCTCAAAAAACCAAAAACAGGGCTGGAGAGATGGCTCAGAGATTAAGAGCACTGGCTGCCCTTCCAGAGGTCCTGAGTTCAATTTTCAGTAACCACATGGTGGCTCACAACCATCTATAATGGTATCTGGTGTCCTCTTCTGGCCTGCAGGCATACATGCAGTCAGAACACTGTAAACATAATAAATAAACCTTTAAAAAAAAAAAGAACCAAAAATAAGTAAATAACAATTTTATTTGTGGTATAAGTGGTTTGATGTGTATGAATATGTGGAAGCCAGAGGTATATACTGGAACTCTTCCACTATTATTCTTCATCTTATTTTTTGATACAAAGTCTCTTACTGTGGTGGTTAATCTCAACTGCCAATCTGATGAGATTTAGAACCACTTGAGGGATGGGCCCCTGAGCATCTCTTGCAGGGTTGTCTTGATTAGGTTAACTAGTGTGAGAAGACTCACCCACTGTAGATGGCACCATTCCCTAAACGAGGACTCTGGACTGAATAAAAGGAAAAGGTGTGCTAAGCACTAGACACCACCACTATTTGACTCCTGGTCCTGCTGCCGGGATATTCCCACAATAATGGACAGTAACCTCGAACTATAAGCCAAAATAAGTGCTTCCTTCAGTTGATCTCGGCAGAATATTTTATCACAGACTGAAAAAGTAACTAATATACTTACTGAACCTGGAACTAAAGTTTCACCTAGACTAGTGGCCAAAAAGCTCCCAGGATCCACCTGCCTCTGCCCCTACAGTGCTGGAGATCTGAACTCGGGTCATCATGACTGTGTAGCAAGTACTTTTACTCAATCTCTCAACTCCCTAAATGCTATTAAATAAATAGACAAAATATTTATAAAATACATTTATTATAAGGTAGTACCTCTTAGTCTTTAATAGATAGACACAAATTGCCTAAGAATTATTTTGGAGGGGATCGATTTGTGATAGGGTCTCCTATATCCCAGGCTGGCTTGAACTCACTACACAGTCAAGGATGACCATGGATCCCTGGTCTTCCAGCTTCACCTACTAAGTACTTGGATTACAGGAACTTACCACATTGGCCTGCACAAATTTTGTATTTAAAAGCCTTTAACTTTGAATATATTATATTTTAAATAACTTCAAAAACTACAACATGTATTTCTTTTTCGTTTTTGGAGATAGTGTTTCTCTGTGTAGGCTTGGCTGCCCTGGAACTTTCTCTGTAGATCAGCCCGGCCTCGAACTCAAAGATCTGCCTGCCTCTGGCTCCCAACTCCCAAGTGCTGGGATTAAAGACATCCGCCACTATCACTCGGTCTATGTACTTCTACCTTTAAATACCATTAGATAAAAATGGTATGGTGCACAGGTTTGCCTGTGATGCCAGCACTGAGAAAAGGCAGAAATTATGCTCCTTCTCAACAGAAATACTAATAATTAACACACTGGGTAACTTTGACTTTTTTTTCAAGTGAGTACATGAAATCATATTATGTAGGCTTCTGCAGAGATTGATCTAAGTTGTGGTTTGCAGCTGCAACTGATAGTTTCTTACTAGAAGACTACACTTCCTAGTTTCCCTTAAGAACTACATCCGCCACTTATGTAGATGTAGAAGAAGTCATTTCTTCCCCATAAGGGGCTGTATCTCATCTTCCCCTGTAGGCATTTCAGGCCATCTATGCATTCTAGCATTCGAGTGACAAAAATGTTACTTCACTGTAAATAAAACATGGTACCACCTAGAGCCAGACCAAGCCTCTCTTTCCACCTTCATCCCTGGGGTTAAAGATGTGATCAATTACCAGGCAGTGGTGGCGCATCCCAGCATCCCAGAGTTTGGGAAGCAGAGGCAGGCAGATCTCTGATTTCAAGGCCAGCCTGGTCTACAGAGTAAGTTCCAGGACAGTGAGGGCTACACAGAGAAACCGACTTGACAAACAAACAAACAAAACAACAAAAAAAAGACCACGCCCAGCCATTCACTACTGTTTTTTAATTACGACTATCCCCAGATTAATACATTTTTGGTGCTTCTAATTTTTGTCATTATACATAGTATTTGTACAGATTTTTTAAACAGATTTATCAAGATATAATTCACATAGTATACAATCCCTGTTATGTGTGATTTTTTAGTCTATGCACAGAGTTACAAACCTATTACCACAGTTAGTTTTCGTACAGTTCCTTTCTCTCCTAGAGACTGTATCCTGTAATCTAACTGGGCCTCAAACCTGCTGTGTAGGTGAACATGCTCTTCAACTGCTCCTCCTGCTGCCACATCCTGAGTTCTGAATAGCGATACACCACCATACCCAGTTTTATTCAGTGGTGGGGATTAAACCTGGGCTCAGAGTATTCTAGGCAAACATTCTATCAAATGAGCCACATCTCTTGTCCAGTTTTTAGCATGTTTTCCTATCTCCAAAAGAAATCTAGCTGAGGAGGACTGGAGAGATGGCTCAGTGGATAAGAGCATTGACTGGCTTTCCAGAGGTTCTGAGTTCAATTCCCAGCAACCACATGGTGGCTCACAACCATCTATAATAAGATTTGCTGCCCTCTTCTGGCATGCAAGCATATATGCAGACAGAACACTGTATATATAATAAATAAAAAAAAAAAGAAAAAAAAAGAAATCTAGCTGAGGATACAGTTTAATGAAGAGTACCTAACACTGGCCAGATGCTGGGATTGAGTGTCAACACTGAAAAAAAAACAAAACAAAACAACAAATAAACAAAAACCCACACCATTATCTATTACAATCACTCCATTTTTCCTCACCCTTACTTCCTAACCTTTCATTCTGAATTTTTTCCCTCAGTTTTCCTTTGTTAATTACACCAATACATTTTTGGTTCTGTTTTTTGTTTTCATTTTCTCTATGTGTTTTTGGCATTTGCTGTATAGTCCAGGCTATCCTCAGACTTAGAGAGATCACCAACCTCTGCCTCCCGAATGCTAGGAGTAAAGGTATACATCATCATGCCTGGAACACCAATAAGTTTTAATTCTGGGCATGGTGATGCATACATAATCTCAGGACTTTGGAAATGGATCTGGAGGTTCAAGAGTTCAAGAACACCTTGGGCTACAAAAGGTCCTGCTTCAGAAGAAGAAAACAACAAACAAGAAGGCTTGGTTATTAAATTGAACTGTTATGGAAGTAGGAGGTAGTAAAAGAAGAATCTAAGAATATTTGAGTGAGAATTCACAGGTGCTTACCTGCTGGTGATTAGGAAAATGTTCCATGGCCTTGAGCAGCAAATGGGTTACATCAGCGAGGAGTCGGACAGGCATGCCTAAAGCAAGGTCCTGCTTAGTTAAGTTAAACACACAGGCACTTGCAGCCAGCTGCACAGGCAAATTCATAGGATGGTTTCTCATCCCAGTAACCACAAGCTGAAGCAAAACAAAACAAAACATTTAGTCCTCTTAATTCCATAAACACAAACCCTCTTTTTATAACAAGGCTGTGTTGCTGAAGTCAAGAGCCTAAACCGATTCCCAAACTTCCTTCCTTGACATGCTGTCAGCTGGACCGCAATAAAATCCACCCTCTCCAAGGACTAGATAACCATTCTTCATTTGTCGTCTTCCCTCCTAAGTCCTCTCCACTCTTCAATTCAGTTGAAAACTTAACTTTCTTTAAAATTTATTTTATTTTATTATTTACTTATGTGTGTGTGTGTGTGCCCTCACAAGAACCAGAGAAGGAGCCGGATCCCCCAGAACTGAAGTTACAGGCAGTTGTGAGCTGCCTGACAAGGGTGCTAGAAACCAAGCCCCGGAGGTTCTCTGAACAGCAGCCAGTGCTCTCAATTAACCACTGAGCCCTCTCTCCAGCCCTGGAAAACCTATCTTTCAACCACACTAAGAACACTCAAGTAACTAGAAAAGAAATTTCAGATTCTCACTGCCCATGTATTCTCCTTACCAGGATACAGAAATACATATGGCACCTTGCCAAACCATGAATGATCTTTTACAATCCTCTCTAAAGTTGATCCCTCCATGGATATGCCAGATCATTTCCTCCTCTGTCTACTCAAGAAAATAATTACCTCAATGTCATTTTTAAAATTCTGGATTGGAAAGACTGACATATTTTAAAAGCTATTCATTTATGAGGTTGAAGAGATGACTCAGTGGTTAAGAGCACAGAGTGCTCTTCCAGAGGACCCAGGTTCAATTCCCAGCACCCACAAGGCAGTTGATAATTACCTGTAACTCCAGTTCCAGAGGATCTGACACATTCATGCCAATGCACATGAAATAAATTTAAAATAAATTATTAAAAGCTATTCATTTACAAATAAGGGGGGCATTGAACTTGCCTTAACTCCAGCATTGGGAGGCTGAGGTAGGAAGACTATAGATTTGAGGCCAAGCTGAGTAACATAGCAAGATCCTGTCTAAAAACCAAAATTCTCCTTTAATCCTATTTCCTTAATCAACTGCCATTTTTCCCCTTTACATTCTTTTACAGCAAAACTCTTTATGTGAATGGACTTTAATCTTTATTCTAAATAAATGAATATTTCAAATCAGGGCTAGCGATCTAGTCCGCTATGCTTAGTTTCATAGAAGTCAAAACTGGAGCTGGGCAATTGTACACACCTCTAATCCCACCACTCGAGAGGCAGAGGAAGATGGATTTCTGAGTTTGAAGCCAGCCTAGACTACAGAGTGAGTTCTAGGACAGTTGGTACTTTTTAAAAAACAAAAAACAAAAAACAAAAAACAATTCGTTTGTTTATCTATTTAATTTTTTTCAGGACAGGGTTTCTCTGTGTAACAGCCCTGGCTGCCCTGGAACTAACAGGCTGTACAGCGGGCTGACCTCGAACTCACAGAGATCTGCCTGCCTCTGCCTCCGGAGTGCTGGGATTAAAGGTGTGTGCCACCACTACCCGGCCAGATTCATTTATTTATTATGTATAAAGAGTTCTAACTGCATGTATGTCTGCAGACCAGAGGAAGGCACCAGATCTTATTATAGATGGTTGTGACCACCATATGTTGCTGGGAATTGAAATCAGGACCTCTAGAAGAACAGCCAGTGTTCTTAATCACTGGGCCATCTCTCCAGTCCCAGCCAGGGCTTTTTTTAATCTGGGAGGGGAGGGAAGGGGAGGAGAGAAAAAAAAAAGTAAAGGAACAAAAACTGGAATGGGGGGAGAGACAAAGTAAGTATCAGCATCTACTGGTTTATATGGAGGAAGTGACAGGCATTAGTGACAATAATAAAATGCTATAGTTCCTACCCAAGCAGTTCATTCAAAAACTTAAGACACTTAGATGATCAAATCAGTTCTGGCTCTGACACAGGACCTCAGTTTCACAATCTATATAATGGAAGATAAAATCCACCTCTTGAGATTGCTCCCACTAACTGAAAAAGTCTCTTTACATGTGGGTGCTAGGAATCAAACCTGGGTCTTTTGCAAGCAGGGCTGGAGAGACGGCTCAGAGGTTAAGAGCACTGGCTGCTTTTTGGCTGCTCTTCCAGAGGTCCTGAATTCAATTCCCAGCAGCCACAAGGTGGCTCACAACCACCTATAATGAGATCTGGTGCCCTCTTCTGGTGCACAGGCACCTCCCCAGCTCCAAGGCTCTTCTTATGAAGCCTAGGTTGTTCTTAAACTTAGCTCACCTGGGCTTGAACTTATAACCTTTCCGTCTCAGTCTCCTGAATGCTAAGAGTTATGGCCTAATACCACCATTTCCAACTGAATATACCCCCCCCAGTGTGTGTGTGTGTGTGTGTGTGTGTGTGTGTGTGTGTGTGTGTAAATACTGGGGAATAAACATAAACATTAGGGCTATGTGCCCATCTTAGGAAATGCTCTACCACTGAGCTATAGCCTCCATTCCTCACTTTGTATATTTTTATTTTGAAACTAAGTCTTGCTATGTAACGTACACTGGCCCTGGGCTCACACTGTGATACAGGTCAAACATGAACATGTAATCTTCCTGCATCTGCCTCCTGAGTAGTTAGTATTATAGGCCTGAATCACTAGGCCCAGTTAAATATTCATGTTTATTTATTCATTTTTAGGACAGAATCTTTAATTCCAGAATTTGGGAGGCAGAGGACAAACTGGTCTACAAAGTAAAATCAGAGCTACATGGAGACACAGTCTCAAAAAAGAAAAAAAGAAAAGAACCCCCTTGCTGCCCACCAAAAGAATTTCCTTTCTTAGGTGGGATGTATCTTAGTTTTGGAGCACTTGTCTGATATATGGAAAGCTTTGGATTTAATCCCAATATAACAGAAAAATGAAAAAATGAATCTTTCTCAGCTTTTAAAAATATCTTAGCTGGGCAATGGTGGTGCATGCCTTTAATCCCAGCACTTGGGAGGCAGAGACAGGCAGATCTCTTTGAGTTTGAGGCCAGCCTGGTCTACAGAGAGAGTTCCAGGACAGACTCCAAAACTACAGGGAAATCCTGTCTGAAAAAAAATAAAAAACAAAACAAAAAAGAGATATATATATAGAGAGAGATAAAAATAAGGGTCAAAACACACAAAATCTATTAGTAATTTCAATTTTTTTCACCTCTTTTTGTTCTTACCTTTAAGATTTCTGGCTTTGTTTTTTCCATCACATGAGTCAGGCTAAAAAGATGAAACAAAGCTTCCCGGACAAAAAACGCCCTTTCACTGTACCGCCTTAAGGCTTCTGCAATCTGAGTCTCGTTGGCTTCTCCAGACACCTTTGAACAGCCAAAAGATGAGTGTTTAGCATTCTTCTCACCCGCTATCTTTCTCCATCTTAACATCAGCTGTAGAGATGGCATTCAGCATAACTAAGGCTTGAAACACATGGGAATGCGTCCTAACCCACCACAGCCAGAGACATACTGGACTAACAGCCCAGCACAAGCCTGTGGGTATTTCCTACCCAACACCTACAATAAATCTCAAGACATTTCATGCTCCATCAGGCCTTGCTGTCTCACTGAGGCTTTTAAGATGCCTCTTATGGAAAACTCGTCCCTTAAATCATCTATTGGGATTACTGACCTTTCTTCATGATGCTTCAAACAGTCACACTCTATCTCAGCAAAAGGTCATCACATACAATGTCAACTTAAAACTTTCTCTCTTTGCTTAACTAATTTGTACTAACCCTTCCTAAGTCAATCCCATCTTTATAGAAAGCCTTACTGACACACCAATCTCAAGACAGATTACTCCCAAATTTCGTTTTCCCACTTTACTGACCCATGTGCCACTCAATAGTGACTAGCATTATGCATGGCTCAGAAGAAACACTTATGTATGCATCAAATAAACCTGTTAATTTCCCTCAGATCGATCAAGCGCCATAAGAGGGTTTATTCAAAATGGAATCTTAATTTATACAGGTTATACTTATGTTACACTGTGGTTCAGGGAGCACTATGCAAACAAATACAGAAAATAAAATGTAACTCTATAGTCAACCTGGCAAGTGAAAAAGAAATGATTAAGATACAGGGCTGGTGAGATAACTCAGTAAGTACCAAGCCAGCGTGAGGTACACCAAGACCCTATCCCAACTCCTAACCCTTCAAAAAGGACAAAAAGAAATATGGACTATAAAAAAAAAAATTCTGAAATTCTACTCTGAGGAGAACTCTAAAAGTCAAAAGGACTGTTTTTTGTTTGTTTTCAGTAGACCAGGTTTTTTGTTTTGTTTTTGACAGTCTCACTATGTATCACTGGCCGATCAAGAGCTCTCTGTGTAGACAAGCTGGCTGTGAGCACACAGTGATCCACCTGCCTTTGCCTTCCAAGTGCTGGAATTAAAGGTGTGTGCCACCATGCCATGCCAGTAGACACATTTAAAGGAAAAGAAAAGGAAGGAAGGAAGGGCCTATGAGGCAGATCATTGGGTAAAGGAATCTGCCATCAAGCATGAAAATCTGAATTTAGTTCCTATAACCCACATAGAAGCAAATCCTGCAAGTTGTCCTGTGACCACCCAACATACACTATGGCACATATATATGAATATATTAATTTTTTAATAAGAAAAAGGAAGAAAAGAGGATTGCTGGGTGTGGTACACACCTTTAATTTGAGTAATTAGGAGGCAGAGGCAGGAGGATCTCTGTGTTCAAGGCTAGCCTCGTCTACAGAGTGAGTTCCAGGTGAATCAGGAGCTACAATGATTCCCTGTCTCAAAAACAAGAAGAGGGGTGAGGGAAGATAGGCACAAGATTGCATGCCTTTAAGTCCATTAGGTGGGAGGCAGATGGATCTCTGAGTTTGAGGCCAGCCAGGGCTACATAGTGAGATCCTGTCTCAAAGAAAAATGAAAAAAAAAGGTGGGGGTCAGAGCTGGAGAGATGGCTTAGTGGCTATAAGCACTTATTTTTATTGAGTGCCTGGATTTGATTCCCAGCATCACACATAAAACTTAAAAAATCTAAAAAAAAAAAAAAAGAAAAAGAAAAAGAAAAGAAAAAAAGAGAGAGAGAGAGAGAAAGGGAAGAGAAGGCACCTATTAACTAAAAGATGCTGCAGATACGCCAGGCCTGGAGAAGGCACCTATAAACTAAAAGATGCGGCAGACATTCCAGGCCTGGAGTGCTGCCTCAGTGATTAATAGAGCATATTGGGCTGGGCAGTGGTGGCGCATACCTTTAATCTCAGAATCCAGGAGGCAGAGGCGGGTGGATCTCTGTGAGTTCGAGGTCAGCCTAGTCTACAGCGTGAGTTCCAGGACAGCTAAGGAAATTACACAGAAAACTCTGTCTCAAACAAAAAAGAGAGAGGAGAAAGGAGAGAAAGAACATATTGCTTCTGCAGAGGACTGGAGTTTTGGTTCCCATCACCCAAACTGAGCGGTTTACAAGTACCTGTATCCCCAGCTCCTTTAGCTTCCAGTTTCTCTCTCTCTCTCTCTCTCTCTCTCTCTCTCTCTCACACACACACACACACACACACACACATAATAATAATAATAATAATAATAATAATAATAATAATAATAGTAATAATGGTTTTTTTCTCAAGACATGATTCTCTATGTAGTCCTGGCTATTCTGGAACTTACTCTATAGACCAGGTAGGCCTCAAACTCAGAGATCTGCCTATCTCTGCCTCTCGAGTGCTGGGATTAAAGGTGTGCGTCACTATGCCCTACCTATAATAAATCTTAAAAAGACATTCAAAAAAAACTTTTACCTTTATTTTTTGAGAGTATGTGTGCCATAGACATATATAGAGGTTAGAGGGCAATTTGAAGGAGTCAGTCTGACGGTCTGAGGTCAATTCCGGGCACCAACATGATGTAGAGGATAAATGATGCCTGATAACCTCCACACATGTGCAGCAAGCATGCACACCCTCCCCAGTAAATAAATAAATGTAACAAAAATTAAGACAGTAAAAAACATACAAAATAAAACACAATAAATGAAACTAAAATAAAAGAATAATTGCAGGGCTGAAGAGATAGCTCAGCGGTTAAGAGCACTGGCTGTTCTTTCAGAGACCTGGTTAAACTCCCAGCACCCACATGGTAGCTCACAACTGTCTGTAACCTTGTTCCAGAGGATCCAATGCCCTCATACAGACATATAGGCAGGCAAAACACCAATGCATATGAAATAAAAATAAATAAGTCATAAAAAGTTTTGTTTTGTTTTGTTTCTGGTTTTTCGAGACATCTTTGGAGTCTGTCCTGGAACTCGTTTTGTAGACCAGGCTGGCCTCAAACTCATAGAGATCCGCCTTCTCTGCTTCTGAGTGCTGGGATTAAAGGCATGTGCCACTAACACCTGGTCATAAAAAAGTTTTCTAAAAAAAGAACAGTGGATTCTTAAACTTTTGGGTAAGATTAATAATAGAAATAAAATACAAATTTGCAGGGCTATAGCATTGTAACAGCAGAAGCCTTAAAAATGAGGAAAAACACAGTATAAGAAAACAAGTATAAAATAAAACAAACAAGGTAAGTATGATATCCTACAAACTAAATTTAATAAAGCAAAAGTACTACGAGGAAGAAGGCAACATAACTGTCAAATACCTCTCTGGTCGAATAGGATCAAGTATGAGAATAAACTTTGGGTTTAGGAGATGTCAAGAATTCTTAAGAGTTCAGAGTTACAGCTTGGTTGATAAAGTAAGCCTTGGGAGTTAGGCGGCCAACAAATTTAAGATCTTACTTGTGAAGTGCAAGACTAGGAAACGAATGATGACAAAAGCCATAGGGGGAATTTTGTGGTCGGAAAACCAGCTACAGTGTAAAGGAAAACCCAGGAAAAGCCAAACCAAGACCTACTTCAGTAGAGGTAGGCAGGCAGAGTAGGAAGCACACACACTTGAGATTCAAATTGTCCGATGCACAGAACAGGTTCTAAGATCAGCTGGCTGTCACCCCTAGAAAATCATTTCTGGGGCTGAAGAGATGGCCTTGCAGTTAAGAGCACTGGCTACTGCTCTTCCAGACGACTTGAGTTCAATTCCCAACACCCACATGGCAGCTCGAAACTGTATGGAATTTCAGTCCTAAGACATCTGATGCCTCTTCAGGCACCAGGCACACAAATCATACACATACATCCAGGCAACGCATCTATACACACAAAATAAAAAGAATGTCTTCTGGGACAGAGTATGGTGGCATACAGCTTTAATCCCGGCACTCTACTCTATAGGTAAAGGCAGAAAGAAGGATCACTGTAAATTCAAAGTCAGCTCCTCCACATAGTGAGTTCCAGGCCAGGCAGGGCTACAAAACTAACTAAAATCAAAACAAAAATAAACAAACAAATCAAACACAAGAAAAGAAAAAGAAAAACCACTTTCTTAACTAGGTATGGTGACTCACATCTGTAATTCCAACACCCAGGAATCTGAAGCAAGAGGACTATGGAGACACCAAAATAAATAATACTTATGAAAGTACAATAAATACAACAGGTGCTTAGAAACACCTGCCCCATAGAAATACTGGGAAAGTATGCTAGCTGCTTCATGGATCCATTACTGGGGCTTATAGTCAAAAGCCAAGCTAAACTCATGATAACACAAAACTGAAATAACTATTTTAGCCATGACTCTTAGCAATCACACTAAACTGGATTTTTTGTTTTGTTTTGTTTTGTTTTTGAAGACAGAGTTTCTCCATACATTCCTGGCTGTCCTGGAGCTCATTCTGTAGACCATGCTGGCCTTGACGTCAGAGATCCCTCTTCCTGCTCTGCCTCCTGTGTGCTGGATTAAAGGCGAGCACCAGCACTGCCCATATAAATTGGATAAATTCTAACAAAAGAGACAGGCAATCTCAGTTCTTTTCCTTCAACATGTCTTATTTTTGAGCTGTCAAATCAGTAGTCAAAGAAACATCAACCTTTGGACATATTTGAATAAAAAAGTTCTAAGGAGCCTATGTCTGTTTTGAGTCAGTTATGTAGACCTGACTTGCCTGGTCCTTGCTATGTAGCTCAGGCTAGCCTTAAAACCCCTGTCTCGGTCTCCTATGCTACTATTACAGACATGAAATACCATGCCTTATTTTTTAAAATATTTTTTAATTATTTACTTACTTATGTGTATGATTTTACCCACATGTGTGTCTAAGGCCTGTAAATGCTAGGAGAAGACATCAGATCCTCTAGAACTAGTTACGGATGGTTGTGAGCTGCCATGTGGGTGTGCTGGGGGTTGAACAAGACCAGGTCTTCTGAAAGTATGCCAGGGCTCTTAACTGCTTAGCCATCTATCTCTCCAGTCCAAATGTTTTAAAACATTATCACTATTGTTGCTGTTGCTATTAATATTATTTGTGACAGGGTCTAAGTAGTCTTAGCTCGTCTGGAACTCAGTACGTATACCAGGCTAGCCTCGAATTCTGAAATCTGCCTGCCTCTGTCTCCAGAGTACTGGGATTAGAGGTAAGCACTCTAACAAATGAACTCCATCCACAGGCCCCACTGGACATTTGAGACAGGGTCTTACTATGTAGCCCTTGCTACATGGAACACACAGAAATTCACCTCCCTCTGCCCCCATGAGTATGCTTGGCCCCGCTGGACTTTTATTTGGTACTACTACCCTAATGTAAGCCTTTCCATTATACAATGATTTTCTATGCCCCGTTTCATATAATAAACAGTTATTCTAATGGAAGTAAACAATTGACCATCAGACAAAACACATTTTTAAGATCTAACCTTCAAATGTCCTTTGCCCGTAAGGAATTCAGAGTAACCAGCGTCTGTGGCCAGCAAACCTACAAACTGCATGCTGGGCCGCTGCTGTATAAAGGCTTCAACAGCCTTGTCTGTCACATGCTTCCTCCCTGAAACATCCAGGGAGACAAGATTAGGCAAAATGTCCTTTTGCTCTAACAATCGCAGGGCTATGTCTGACGTGAACTGTTTATCATCTGAGATGTCAAGATGATTCAGATGTTTTAGTTCCCGGACAACATCAAGGATCTGGGTAGTAGTCATTTTTAAACATTTCAAATGGTGCATGGTGAGAGACTTGAGTCGGTCTTTGCAGGCCAGCAGGGCAGTGATATCTGTGATTGAGGTGTTAGAAATATCCAAGCTTTCCAGTCTAGGCAAGGAAGCAACTTCAGCCAGATCTTCATTGTAAAAGAGGACATTAGTGATGCTCAGAGCTCGAAGGCCAGAAAGTCGGCTGAAACACCGCTCATACGGATCCTCAAGGGACAGAGTTAATGAGTTTAGTACTAAGCACTGAAGATTTTGCTGGATCCACTTGTTACTGCCAAGGCCACTTATGATGTCTGTAATAGTGATGTCAGCATTCACACCCGTGGCATCAAGTTCTACTAACTTATGGTGGCAGAAGGCTTTCCGGAAAGCAACAGCGGAAATCTTTGCTTTGCGAATGCAAGCTCGCTTTAGGCGCATCTGATTACCCCTGAAAATTCCCACAGTTCCATCATTCAGCAGACCTGGGGGAAAATAAGCAGTATTTTAATTTAAAAATAAAACAAAACAAGCAAGCAAACAAAAAACAGTCAAATAGCAAATATTTTCATCACATTTTAAATTTCTAACATACTTCCATGTAGTTGTATTACACTTAAAACAATTCTATGAAATGAAGACACTATTACTTAGACTGAGACTCAAAAGGGGACTTTCCAAGATTATGGAGCTGGTAATAGCAACACCTGGTTGTCTTCACTCTGTGAGACACGCAGGCAGCTGTCATTCCCAGTACTTCCTTACAATCAGATATACCACATATAGTCAAAGGGCTGTAGGCTTAAGCACCTGAGTGTCACCCATGATTCCCCACACTCTCTTCTCCTTCTGGGACAAAGGAGAAGCTTCAAGTTCTAGAGAGATTGTATTATGAGGGCTGAGTGTCTACCAATCAGGATACTAAAGTAACTAAAGAAAGAGAATCTTCACTGGACCTTGCAGGGTTCATATATGAGCAAGGTTTAAACTTTACACTAACATATTGATACCAATATATTTCTAGAATATCTTTTAAATTCATAATACATTATTACATATATAAACATACACATAATATATTTAGTAAATATAATGGCTAGAATTCATTGTTAAACTATTAGTCAGAGCTGGGGATGATGGACACACCTTTAATCCCAGCACTCAGGAGGCAGACGCAGACAGATCTCCATGAGTTCGAGGCCAGCTTGATCTACATAGCCAGCACTGCATAGAAACCCTGCCTCAAAACAAACAAGGAAAAAACCCACTAGCCAGATTTGAAACCTTTTTATTTTGGTTTAGTGTTTTTGATACTGTTGTTGTTTTGTTTTGTAGATGGATTTCTGTGTTTACCACACCTGGCTGCCCAAAACTTGCTTTGTAGATCAGGCTGGCCTCAAACTCACAGAGATTCGCCTGCCTCTGCTTCCCCAGTGCTGGGATTTAAGATGCGCACCACCACACCCCGCTTGGCTTAGTTCTTAAATTTTTAGAAATTGTACTTATTTATTCATGTGTGTGCACACGTCTGCGCATGGCATGGCATAAGTGTAGAGGTCAGAGGACAACTTTGTGGAGTTCATTCTTCCCTTCCACATGGATCCTCAGAACAGAGCTCAGGTCTTAGGCTTGGCAGCAGTGCTATTTATCTAGTGAGCCATTGGGTCAGCCTCTGGCGTTTTAGTTTTTGAGACACAGTCTCACACTGTATCTCTGACTGACCTCAAACTTGTAGACAGTGCTTAAAACCTTATTGGAAAGATGTAACACTGGCCAGGCAGTGGTGGCGTGTGCCTTTAATCCCAGCAGTGAGCCAGAGGCAAGTGGATCTCTGTTAGTTCAAGGCCAGTTACAGGACAGCCAGGGCTACACTAAGAAACCCTGTCTTGGGGGAAATAAAGAAAAGAAAATATCTGGGCATGGTAGTACACACTTGTGATCCCAGTACTGCAGAGACTGAGGCAAGAAGATCATTTTGAGTTCATTACTTAGTTAAACCCTCTACCACAAACACACACACAAACACAAACAAACACACACTTAAAAGTAGAATAAAGTTTTTTCCTAAAGAAAGAGGGATAAACAAACAAACAAAATTATAGGACAAACGCAAAAAAAAAAAAAAAGAGCAAAGTAAAAGCCTCTTAGAAATGCTGGCCCGTGGTAGTGTACACCTTTAGTCCCAGTACTCAGCAGGCAGAGGAGGAAAGATCTCTGAGTTCAAGGCCAGCCTGGTCTACAGAGCTAGTTCTAGGACAGCCAGGGCTACACAGAGAAACCCTGCCTCGAAAACAGAAAAGGAAATGACCTATCAGACAATAGTGCTACAGAATATGACACTATGGAGTCATATCTCAAAAATATTACATATCAAACAATACCTACTAGGAAAGAAGTAAAAGCCATACCTATAAAATGTACTCTAAGAACAGTCTGTGGCTGTACCATTTGGAGTAAGATAAATCAATACTATGGGGTTTAAAGACAAAATTTTATGGTTATATCAGTGAGTCCATACTAACAATGCCCTTCAAGCTGCCAGACAAGTTATTATAAAATCAGAACTAAGGCATTTTTGTCTAAGAGCTGTTGTTAAGTAGAGGAGCTCTTACCCAGCATATTCAAAATTTAATTATTGTAAGACATTCAAAAGCTTCATGAAACTTGTCACATTGAACAAAAATTGAGTCAAGCAACCAACAGGGTATTAATAGTTCAGCAACCAATTGACACCCAGAGTTGCAATAATATGCCCTTTCTTATCAATGCACCTTGCAACCTGCTAACCCTACATACACCTGTACTGAGCTGCATACACGCCTGCTTTAACAATAAAAACAAGTTAGTCTTCTTAGTAATCCCTAGATAATACACCTGTTTTTACTCAAACACTCGTGAGATGTATCCAGTATCTGGCCTATTCAGCCTGGACAGGTTGTAGGTACATAACCATCAGGACAAACTGTGTCCTGAGAGACCTTTGTTGTTGTTGTTAATGGTTGTTTGCTTTCTGTTTTTCAAAACAAGGTTTCTCTTTGTAACCACTCCAACTGTCTGGGAACTCTCTCTTTAGACCATGCTAGCCTCAAACTCACAGAGATCCCCTTGTTTTGCCTTCTGAACGCTGGGATCAAAGGTGTGTGCCACTACAGCCAGGCAGTCTGAAAGTTCTTTTAGGGAGAATCCCTCACTTACTATCTTATGCTTAGACATAATTGGGCATGCACATGATTAAAATCAGTTGCATCAGCTGGGTGGTGGTGGTGCATGACTCCAAAGTTACATAGAAAAACCCTATTTGAAAAATAAGATAAAAAAAAAGTTGCATCATGCTAAGGGACGTGTAGTAGACAAAGGCAGTACCACAACCCTGTCAATCAACACAGATAACCCCCGTCACGAACATCTATAACCAGCTCCTCCTTCCACCGCACTCCCTAAAGCAAAGCCCCAAACAGTAACAAGGCCGGTCAGTCCTCTCCCACTCAGGGAGTCCCATCTCTCCTGGCAGTGTACCTAAAACTTGAACTTTTTGTTTTGCTATAATGAATCTTACTGATTTTTTTGTTTGCTTGTTTTCTCAAGACAGGGTTTCTCTGTGGCCTTGGAGCCTGTCCCAGAACTAGCTCTTGTAGACCAGGCTGGCCTTGAACTCACAGAGATCAGCCTGCCTCTGCCTCCTGAGTGCTGGAATTAAAGGTGTGCGCCACTACCACCCGGCGAATCTTACTGATTTACTTTTTATGTGTACATCTTTTTCAAGTTATGTCGACAAGGTACCACAAATTGTTAAAAAAAAAAAAAAAAAAAAAAAAAACTCTGCTAGAAGTCCAGTGGATTAAGAGCATTTGCTTTTCAGAGGACCTGCATTCAATGCCCAGTACCTACACGGTGGTTCACATCTATCTGTAACTCCAGTTTCAGGGAGGCCAACAACCCTGCTCTCGCCTCTGCAGGCATTAAGCACACAAGTGAAGTACAGCAACAGCAAAGCTAGGTGGTGGTGATGCACACCTTATCCCAGCACTCAGGAAACAAAAGTAGGCAGATCTCTGAATTCAAGGCCAACCTGGTCTACAGGATGATTTCCAGAACAGTTAGTTAGCCAGGACTACATAGAGAAACCCTGTCTCCAAAACCCAAAAACAAACAAATTTTAAAAACCTAACAACAGAAAAGAAACTAATATAACACAAAACTGAAACTTTTTTTTTTTTTGAGATAGGTTTTCACGTAGTCCAGACTGAACTCAAACTCACTCTGTAGCTGAGTGAACTTGTAGACCTTGAACTCCTGATTCTCCAGTCCCGGCCTCCCAAGGGTTACAGGCATGTGCCAATATACCTAGTTTTTATTTTTGGAGTGTATATGCATGTTCTACTGCACATGTGGAGGAAGTCAGGTTTTTCTTTTCACCATATGGGTCTGTGGAACTCAACTAAAGTCCTCAGCTTTGGCAGCAGGTACCTTTACCCACTAAGATATTTCAGGGGCCATCACACCTGCCTTTTTATTTATTTTTAATTTTTTAAATTGTTTTTACTGAGCTATATATTTTTGTCTACTCCTCTCCCTTTCTCCCCTCTCCTATGGGCCCCATGCTTCCAATTTACTCAGGAGATCTTGTCTTTTTCTACTTCCCATGTAGATTAGATGCATGTATGTCTCTCTTAGGGTTCTCATTGTTGTCTAGGTTCTCTGGGATTGTGAACTGCAGGCTGGCTTTTCTTTGCTTTATGTCTAAAAGCCACTTATGAGTGAGTACATATGATATTTGTCTTTCTGAGTCTGGGTTACCTCACTTAATATGATGTTTTCTAGATCCACCCATTTGCCTGCAAATTTCAAGATGTCATTATTTTTTTCTGCTGTGTAATACTCCACTGTGTAAATGTACCACATTTTCTTTGTCCATTCTTCGGTCAAGGGGCATTTAGGTTGTTTCCAGGTTCTAGCTATGGCAAACAATGCCGCTCTGAACATAGTTGAGCACATGTCCTTGTAGTACGATTGAGCATCCTTTGGGTATATGCCCAAAAGTGATACTGCTGGATCTTGAGGAAGGTTGTTTCCTAATTTTCTGAAAAATCGCCACACTGAAATCAAAGCGGCTGTATCGGTTTGCACTCCCACCAGCTATGCAGGAGTGTTCCCTTTACCCCACATCCTCTCCAGGATAAAACAAATTTTGAGACTGAACATGCTGAGCATGATCACTGAGAAATACTGGTATTACATAATCTCTTAAATTGTTGCATAGCACTGTAAGCGACTTACTTTTAATATATATACTACTTACTGATAGTTATTCTGGTTCCTGTGTCAGAATGTGAGTTAAGCAATTCAGTGAAAATAATCAAATATAGAGGTTTTCTTTTCTAAATTATACCAAATAATTCAATTAAAGCTCCATTTTCTTAGTCTTCTTTGAGATGCATAATCTGCATTCACACCTAACAATATTTTTCTTTCTTTTTCTTTTTTACTTTTAATATGGGTGGGGGCAGGAAAGTACGTGCAGAGGCCAGAGGAGATTTTCCAGTCTTCTGTTGTTAGTCTTCTATTGTTCTTAGTCTTCTTCCTGTGCAGCAGGGTCTCTTACTGAAGCTGGAGCGAATGGTTCTTCTACTTATTTTTTTTTTAAATATTTATTTATTATGTCTACAATATTCTGTCTGTGTGTATGCCTGCAGGCCAGAAGAGGGCACCAGACCTCATTACAGATGGTTGTGAGCCACCATGTGGTTGCCGGGAATTGAACTCAGAACCTACTTATTTATTTTAAATCAAGGTGGCAACAGTAATCCTTTTGTCTTCATCCCTTACCAAATGCTGGGTGTAGCCACACCTGGCTTCTCATGACAATGGGGATCCTAATGCTGAAGTCCTTTATGTTGCTGAAGTCCTTTACCCACTAAGCCACCTCCAGCACCCAACAGTATTTTTCACACACACATATATGTGAAGCAGAGGCAGATGATCTCTTGAGTTCGAGGCCAGCTTGGTCTACAGACTGAGTTCCAGGATAGCCAGGGCTACAGAGCAACTCTGTCTCAAAAACAAAACAAAACAAACAAACAAACAAAAAACAACAGAAAAAGAGTCAAGACCAGAAACCAGTTTTTCATAATAGTACGATTCTCCCACTGTCAAGAGAAGATGTAAGGTATTTCTATACCTGTGGACGACTATGTAGAAACACTGTAGTTACAAAAGTTCCTTTTGCTCTAAGAATCACTTTTTAGGTCTTGGAGAAACAGCTCAGTGGTTAATAGCATTTGACATTTCTACAGAGGGTCAGTGTTCAGATCCCAGCACCCACAAATACTCATAACTGTCCCTAACTCCAGTTCCAAGGGATCTGACACCTTCTTCTGACCTCCATGGGCACCAGGAACGCACATGGTGCATATATATAGGCAGCCAGAACACTCATCCACATAAAATAAATAAATCTAAATATGTTTGTGTGGGGGTGTGTCTATTTAAAAAAATTACTTCTTAAATCAAAAAAGAAAAATAATGGTTTGCCTAGACTGGAAAGGAAAAAAAAGCATTAAATCTGAAGCAAAAACAGGTAAAAAGTTACTGAATTCCTTTTCCTAGAATCAGGTTCATCTGACTTTTTCTACTATTTCTAAGAAAACAATTAAATGGGCCATAGCGGTATTTTCAAATCCAATTCCAATTAAAAGCACACAATTTGTCTTTTCCATCTTTCATCATTTACCATGAAATGCCATGGTCTGAAGCAGTCGATCAGCCACCTCCTGTGGAAATACTCCGGGTTCCTGCAGACACAGTGTTCCGTCTTGTCTTGCTGAACAGAACTTCTCAAGGTTAGTGGTCAGGAAACTCAAACAGATGTCAAGTAAGGAATAGGGAGATGCTTCCTCCTTGGAACACAGGAAAGAACATAAAGGAAACACAAAAGCAAACAAATTAGCTTCCAGAAAAGTGGAGAATAAAACCCTTATTTACTCATTCAATAACTATTTATTGTCTATGAGACAGACAATGAATACTGTGACAGCAACAGAGACTGTGTTAGGCAGTAGGACATAGTCTGTAATATGCATCTCAGAAGAACAGACATCCTGAAACAAATCTCCACAATCCCTTAAATACTACAAGGGAAACCACACTGGGTAGAGTAAACACCCAGCCAGTTCTAACCAGTCAGAGGCAGATAGGAAAAGCCTCAAAGGAAGAAGAGATAAACCTTCCTAAATTATCACCACATGCACTATCAGGTCTTCATAGGCTCTCACCACACTGGAGACAGCACTCCTTTTTCTTTTTCTTGTCTTTTGAGACAGGCTGGACGAGAACTCAATATGTAGACAAGGCTGGCCTGGAAATCGGAGATCCACCTGCTTCTAACTCTGGAGTACCAAGACTTTAGTACTAAGACCTTTAGGTGAGCATCACCACGCGCAGGCACAAAGACAAAAATTCTTAAAACTGTTGACTTTCCTATCTGAATCCTTCTGTGCTGTCATATGTCCACTTAACACACAAACTAGAGTTATGTGAATGGACAGAACCTTAATAGAAAAATGCAGGAAGAAAAGATTTGTCTTAGCTCACAATTCCAGATTTCAGTACGCCAAAGGTCAATCAAGGTGTGGCGGGCTTAAAACTGCTCACATCACATCTACAATCAAGAGCAGAGAGACGAGAGATACACATTTGGTACTCAGCTACCCTTCTCTACTCTTACACAGCCCAGGACCCAAAGCCAGAGAACTATACCACTAACTTTCAGGCTGAGTCTTTCCACATCTATTAAGGCACCAAGACAGGCTCCCTAAAGACAAGCCCACAGGCCAACCTAATATAAATAGTCCATCACTGAAATTCTTTCCAGGTGATTTTAGAGTGTGTCAAGTTGACAATTAGATTAACATCACATCTCCCTACTCCATCAAATAAGTATTTTTATAGTCTTCCCTTTCACCAGGAGTGTGGGTCCTTTAGAATTCCTGCCTTTATGTGGTGGTCTCAGTCCTAATTCTTATGAATCAAGTTCAAAATGTCATCTACTACTTGAAAGGTTCCTAAGGTTGACAAGCCCATCAAGAGACAGCAATGACACCACTAGTGACCTTTTCCTGTACACCTGAAAGATGTTTTTGTTTCATCTGTAAGAAGTACTTTTATAGGCTGGGCAGTGCTGGTGCACACCTTTAATCCCAGCACTTAGGAGGCAGAGGCAGGCGGATCTCTGAGGGCAGCCTGGTCTACAGAGAGAGCTCCAGTATAGCCAGGGCTACACAGAGAAACCTCCCGCCTAGAAATCCCTCCCTCCAAAGTAATTTCATTACATTTTTATTTAGTTATTGTGTGTGTGTATGCATGCACACATGTAGGGATGGATATATGTATATGGGAGTACGTACCAACTTATACACACAGAGGTCAGCACACCTGTCTTAAGCCACTGTCCTACTGCTGTGAAGAGACTCCATGACTCCAAGGCAACTCTTTAAAAGCATTTGATTGGGGATGGCTTACAGTTTCAGGGGTTAGTGCATTATCATGATGGGAAGCATGGCAGCACATAGGCAGACATGGTGCTGAGAAGCTGAGAAGTAGCTGTGAGTTCTACATCCTGATCCATAGGCAGAGAGAGAGAGAGACAGACAGACAGACAGACAGACAGACAGACAGACAGACTCTGGCCTATCCTCAGTGATACACTTCCCCCAACAACCCCTGTAATCCTTCTAAGAGTTGTTTCTCTATATATATGGGTCCTAAGGACTGAACTCAGATCAGGCTTTGTGCCCTTATACACTATGCTACTTTCACAGTCTTCGTTTTGTTAGAGATAGAGTCTTACTCTGAAATTCAAGTTGTCCTTAATTCATGGCATCCTTCTTTCTGCCTCTATCTTCTGAGAACTAACAATCCTGATGTTGAGGAGCTGCCTGGCTTAATGTTGTTATCATTGTTTGTAGTGCTGGGGATCAAACCCAGAGCTTTTTTCAAGCCAAGTAAACTATCACTAAGCTATAGCAATTGTTTATTTTCTAAATATTGGATAAAAAATTAGGTAATTTAAAAGATTAGATAACAATTTTTGATAGAAATTATTATTATATTTTAGAGATGGGGGTCTCACTATATTGGCTAAAACTGGCCTAGGGGTCAGCTAAGAGCTTGGCAGGTAAGGTGCTTGTCACCAAGCCTGATAACCCAAGTTTGATCCCTGAAATAATGTGGTAGGAGAGAACTGACTCCTGCCACGTTCTTCTGTGACCTCCACATTCCCAATGCGGCACTCCTCATTCCTTCCAACTAAATAAATAAACGTAAAAAATCATTTTTAATGATTTGTTATTGTCACTTTTAATGATTTGCTGTTGTTGTTATTATTATTATTATTAATGTTTTTTCAAGACAGGGTTTCTCTGGGTAACAACCCTGGCTGTTCTGGAACAGGTAGGCCTCAAATTCAGAGATCTGCCTGCCTCTGCCTCCCAGGTGTTGTAATTAAAGGTGTGCCCCACTGTGTTTGGATTATTTTTTTATGGTTTATTTAACTTTATTTTATGTGCATTGGTGTGAAGGTGTCAAATCCCCTGCAACTGGATCTTCAGACAGTTGTGAGCTGTCATGTGGGTGCTGGGAGTTGAACCCCGGTCCTCTGGAAGGGCAGCCAGTGCTCTTAACCACTGAGCAATCTCTCCAGCCCTTGGCTTATTTTTTTTAAGATTTCATTTTTTTAATGTTTGTTTTATCTGTTTTGTCTACATGTATGTACACGCATGACATGAATGTCTCATTCAAAGAGATCAAAAGAGGGCATTAGATCCTCTAGCAGTTACAGGTTGTAGGCCACCGTGTGGGTACTGGGGAATGAATCTGGTTCCTCTGCAGCAGCAGCCAGTGCCTAAATGCTGAACCATCTCTCTAGTTATAAGATTTTATTTTTCAAGTTTTATTTGTTTTTTATTTATTTAGAGTGTGTGTCCCACAGAGACCAGAAAATGGCATCAGATCCCCTGGAGCTGGAGTTGCGGAGGTTGTGAGCTGTCCGATATGGGTTTAGAAACTAAACTGCTGATCTCTGCCAAGAGCAGTAAGAGCTCTTAACCTGGGAGGGAGTGGAAACCATGGTTGGTACATAAAACGAATTTTTAAAAACTAAGAGCTCTTAACCTGTGACTATTTTCAGTGAGGTGCATGTACGCACACACATTCTTGTGTTTGCCTCATTTTTTTTTTAAATGTTCATTGGTGCTTGCCTGCATGTATGTCTGTGTGAGGATGTAGAAAGTTCTGGAACTGGAGCTACAGGCAGGTGTGAGTTGCCATGTGGGTGCTGGGAATTGAACCCAGGTCCTCTGCTAAGCCTGCTCTCCATCCCCATCATTTATTTTAAGGATTTATTTTATTTTTATTGACATGTATGAACATGACACATGTTCAAGGATGCCAGAAGGCATTGGAGCTGAAATTACAGGTGATTGTCAGCTGCCTGATGTGAGCACTGGGCATGAACTCAGGCCCTCTAGAAGAGCAGCAAACACTCTTATCCCCTCTGAGTCATCTCTCCAGTCCACACTTCATTAAAAAAAAAAAAAAAAAAGATTAGGAATTCTATGCAGCCCAAGTAGATGTCTAACTTTCAATCTTTCTGCCTAGGTCTCCACAGCCCTAGGCTTATAGGTGTTTATCACTACACTTGGCTGTGAAATGCATTTTTGTTTTTTGTTTTTTGAGATAGGGTTTCTCTGTGTAACAGCCCTGGCTATCCTGAAATTAGCTCCTATAGACCAGGCTGGCCTCAAACTCACAGAGATCTGCTTGTCTCTGCCTCTCGAGTGCTGGGATTTAAGGCGTGCAAACACCACTGCCCGTCATTAAATGTATTTTTTATTAACATCTTTTTGAAGGACTAAGTAATATCTTGTACTTGGACTCCAGTTGTCTGGATTAAAATGCCATTTACAAAACTATGTAAACTTATTAGGCAAAGGACTTAGTCTTCCTGTATTTCAGTCCATGATCTAAAAAAATGCATAAAGCAGTTCCTACCTCATGAGACTGTCTGTTGTCAGAAATAAATACACTCTAAATGCAGAACTCTTGAAGTAGTGCCCAGCATGTACTAACTGCTGAGTCAGTGCTTATTATAGACTGTAAGTTCCACCAGGAAAAAAATGTTTTGTTCACTGATACAGTCATAAGCCTAAAATAACACCTACTACATCATAGCAACAAACGTGCATTTTACAGTGAATCTTCAAGCACAAATGTACTGTTAGATGTACTTCACACCTAGAGAAAGAGATGGCACACCCAGAGATATTAAGTCGCGGGTTAGAACTGAAAGGTGGACAGTATCACTGAAGCGCACACATACCCATCCTGACTTCCTACCACCATACTTCAGGAGAAAGCACCTCTTCGTTTTTTGCAGTGCTAGGGGAGGGATTATACAAGTACAGCGTCACTGAGCTACAGTGCTAGGGGAGGGGTTAGTACAGTGTCCCTGAGCTATAGCCCCCAATTATTCTGTACCAATAATTCCACCAAGTCAGGCTTCTAGAAATAAGCATCCAAGACCAGATGTAATCAAATCCTCTGTTCTACCCATTTCTGACATCTTACAAATGAAGAAGTCAACAAAGTAGTCTCAAGGACATAGGTGATATCATCCTCAATACAGATATTAGGGGCCGAAGAAATGGCTCCACAGTTAAGAGCACTGGCTGCTCTTCCAAGGGACCTGGGGCAACTCACACCTGTCTGTAACTCCAGTTCTGGGAATCTGACACCCTCACACAGACATACATGTAGGTAAAACATCAATGCACATTTTAAAAAAAGAATGCAGATATTATGAACTACTGGACATAGGGGTTTTGCTTGTCTGTCTTTTTGT